ATCGAATGATTTCGAAGTCACATCGCATGATGCAAGCCGATGTTAAGTTTGCGATGGCAGAATCGAGATGCAAGCGAAACGAAAAGAACAAAGGACGAGATAGGGTATAGAAGGGATCCCGAACGAAAGAACAAAGCATCCCACTACAAAACGAAGACCTATAGCGGAGTTTGGTCGACCAGCTTATAAAGTAAGATTGGCTAATTTGGAGTCAAACATCGGATCGTGTTTTATTTGGGCCGGTAAATCAGAGACTGTAAACGAGACGAACATCCCTGAATACATTGCCGGCCTGAAAATTACTCCGATAACCGATAAGCTGTAACTACACCACATTCATTCCTCCGGTAAAACGTTAAATACTCTGATAGCGGATATCAGATTGGTTGTATATCGCCGATTTTAATGCATATATCCATGAAAGTGCAATACTTATATCAAATTCGAGTCTCGTAAAAGTCACTGAATGAACGTTTTGTCAATTTTCTCGATACAAAATGGTTGATGGTCAATTACAGATATGTAGTCTATCAATTTAAAACTGATAGTTTAATAAAAAAATATAAAAGTTACCTCAACGTTCATACTACAAAAAGTACCTCGAAATACTTATGCTATATCAATTTCAAAGTTCGGAAAAAATATGTATAAAGTCAACTAGACCAATTCGTGTATTTCTTCACCAATTTTAATGAGGAAAGTTTTCGACGAACCACTGGTTTAACATTTACGAGGACAGTTATGTAGCGCACAATATAACATTAATCCAACAAATTTCGATCAGGAAATAAACCCCCAACCACGTCGATACCGCCATCGCACGTTGTGATTAACGAATATTATTTTTAACGATATCGCATCCGAAAGTTCCGTGAATGGATGAATGAACCATTCAATCTGTAATGACCCAACATTTCCCTGTATCGTGATGGCGAAAAAATATCGAATTAAAAACGCCGTAGGGAGACGGAATAAAAGATCAGTTTCAACCAGAGAAATAATCTGGCCACAGAAACACACGAAAAGAGTTCGCGTGCAAACGATCAGCGTGTTCCAAGAAACAGGGCGAACTCTTCGTTTCTATATTTTACGCTGTTCTTTTTCTTAGATAGTCCTCGCCAGCAACTTCCACGCTGTACAAGCGTCTTTCTCCGACATCTTAATGTTGGAATTCATCTCTTGATAAATTGTCGAGCGTTTGTTCCCTTTCTGCATTCGCGATACAACATTTGTCGACCTTAGGTCCACTGTTGTCGACGTTTCAATTGAACAAATGCCTTAAATCCCGATTTTACCTTCCTTATATCTGACAATTATTTAAGAGTCATTAATCTTCCGTTATGTATCGTGTTATGCATTTTGTATATTGTACCCGTTGTTAATGAACGATACCGATTGTACGATATTAATTAATCGGTTCATTATTTGTTCCAATAGAGCATTTTCTCCAACAGATATTAATGATATGTTTACGTCATCGTTGCCGTCAAATTTCAAGTTTTAAACTGATATAACACAGGTGTTATTTTACGATGCTTTTGTGCCATGAAATCCGGCTAGATTTTACATGGTTCGGAATCAGCCATTGTACGCGGAGCTGACAATTAGCCGTGAGATATTAAAAACATTAATGGACGGTTTGCGTAGCTGTTTTCATCAAACTCCAAACTTTAAATTGATATGCCATAAGTGCTATTTCGCGGTAATTTTATGTCACGAAATTATGTCAAAACTTTCTACATTTCGAAATCGACCGCTTGATATACAACCTAATAATACTCGTTTTTCGTGCACTTTAAACTGTAATTACAGTTCTAAATGCAATGTGTTACACTTAAAAATTAGTGGACGTTGGTTCGTTTATCATGAACTTTTTTTATCGGTTAGGTATTTAGTGCTATAGCATTCTGAGTTATTTTAGAATTTAATTTGAGAAGTTGGGAACTTGGAAACTGGGGAGTTTGGCAATTTAGGACTATGGAGTGTTCCAAAATTCTCAAATTCCAAAATTCTCAAATTCCAAAATTCTCAAGTTCAAAAATTCTCAAGTTCCAAAATTCTCAAGTTCCAAAATTCTCAAATTTCAAAATTCTCAAATCCCAAAACTCTCAAATACCAAATCTCTGAAATTCCAAAATCTCTCAAATTCCAAATCTCTCAAATTCCAAGCCTCTCAAATACCAAATCTCTCAAATTCCAAAACTCTCAAATTCCAAACCTCTCAAATACCAAATCTCTCAAATTCCAAAACTCTCAAATTCCAAAATCCTCCAAATTCTCAAAATTCTCAAATTTGATAAATGTTCAAATCAAGGAGCTTGCGCCTTCTTAAAGTATGGCCCTAAATCTGCCAGAATATCCAACACCCAGGTTGCGGCAATATAGCGGGAGTGAACCGCAATGAAAAGCGCGAAAGAATTTTCCTCAGTTTCCAATATGGTCATCGAAGAGAAATCTCCGCGAGGCGTTCCAAACAAAGGTGTTTATAGCCGTCTATCCAAAGCACAGAACGATTCTCGAAGAGCCGCATGCCCCTAGGCAATTTCATGGAAAAGAGTACATTAGAAACGCTTAACCTGTCTGATGCAAGATCGTCGAGAACCTACGTGTTACCGATTCCCGTGTACTACAAGAAAACCATAGGGCTCTAACAAGGACGCCTGCTTTTTCTATCCACCTATCCTTGCGGAATTCCACCGCAGACCTATAATCACATTTTCATAAAATTATTACAATTATCATCTTACCGATTTTTTCTTGCTCTTTGCTGCAACTGTTCCTGCATCGGCTTGCATAAAATTAACTTTAAACACGTTCCACAGTGCCTGTACGGTTTCCTGATCTTTCCAAACCGGCAATTACATACTCTATGCTTTTATGGAGTCGATGAATGGTGGTGATACGCGCTCATACGCTGGTAAAATTAATGAACTGCCTCGATCGGTTTGAGCGAATCGAAGGCTTCAATAATGGGTCAATCAAGATACGAGCCGATGCATATGTCTTTTTTTTCCCCGTTTCTTTATTCGCGATGATAGGCATGGCACCATGGGTTCGTTACGGGGTCACTACGCACATCGTTTCTTTATCTATGAAAACACAGATCAGCCGCGTTGCGTGCAATCTTATTGCGATTGTAATAACAAATTGATTTGAACGCAACGCTGGCTGATTGAATAAAGCGGAAAGATTGGCTGACCATTCACGATCGCGACGCTGCAACGACGATTCAGCCTCTGAACGTCTTCAATAAGAATCTTCATTAAAAGTATCATTAAATATCGACAGGTATAGATGTTTTAACTTATACGAAGCAACGTTTAATAAAACAAACTCAGTCACCATCATTGAGCTCACATAAAAAAATCTAAGATGAGACTGAACCTAAAGTCACCCTGAACAAAATCTAACATAATTCAACTAAACCTTAACTTCTCTAAGTAACTTAATCGTAAGCTTACCCTAATAAAGTAATTTTAATAAAATACATCTTAAGACCATGTACTGAATCTTGCAGAAAGAAAGTAAATCAGCAGGTCGTAGAGAATCATGTACCAAGAAAGTAAGTCGAAAATCGAAAATTTGAAGTTGATGATAGGCATGCCTCTCAAGCTTAAAGCAAAGCTTTCCGCCAACAGTTTCCATACCCACTTTGTTAGATTCTTCAGAACTTTGAAACGATCGTTTCGATCGATCGGGTCATCTAGCGTTTAAGATCTTCTATACTCGTAAAACTTCCAAGACCTTTGATACAAGTTACATCGGTTGTTAATCTTCCAGAAATTGCCTATTCGGGTTTTAGCAAACTTCTGGTTAAGTGTTTTGACGTTGCTCGTTTGTGAACGAGGAAATTAGAAACTTCGACAAAATAATAACCGTTCAAATTAAAATAACTTTAAATATTTTAATTAAAATATCTAAAGTCTAGAAAATCTAGAGATCAAAATGTTCGCATCTACCTGCGACGTCGGCTAAAATTTTGAAATTCGCAGGTGGTCGGGGACACTAGTATTTTTAAACTTGGCCCGGCTGTAAGTAGACACTACTTCTAAAAATTAGGCTCGGGAAAGTTACCAATAATTTAGTCGTTCAATTTGAAAATAAGTCAACGATTATTTTTGTCATTTCGTTAGTTTTGAATAGTTTAAAATAATACTTATTATTGGTCAACGAGATACGTTTTTATCAAAGTATGTTTATACATTTAATAGTGACTTAGTATCACAAGATGACTAACAATGTGCGCATTTTGTTTATCGACAAAATGCTTCGTTTAATATACACGCGCAAGCTTATAGAACACTTTTAGAACGCCACAAGGAAGCGCGTCCATTGAAGCTAAAATTGCGAAATATGTTTTCATAGCCGGCTACATTGCAGGAAACTTAATATCGAAAACATTTCATCCCGCGAATTCCCGATCAAAAGGATTGACAATGTAAGGGAACAATTCAATTTTAGATCAATTTTGCGCTCCACGCTTAGCAGAAACCAGTATCCATTGATTGATGAAAATGAAGGACAAGCTTAGAAGAAAATTGCTACGGGTTTTCAGAAAAATTTCCTGGATATTATTTCCGAAGTATTTCTAAAACGAAGAAATATTTATTAAAAAATGTTAGCAATTTTTCTTGGGGAAATATGATCAAAAATCTATAGCATACCTACGTGGACGCAGTATTTACGTATAAGACGTAAATAAGGTTAGATAACAATACGCTCGTTAATGGCCCGCCACTTAACAGATACGCAAACGCCATGCATTCGTGGGCAAGTCGACTTTCTAGTTCGAAAAATTTCATATCTGTACACAATCTAAATTCCAATTGTCACATTTGCAAATTTTGAAATGACGACAGTATTTTTCGTCCTTAAAACTTCCGCGTCGTTGAAATATCGATTGGTAGAAAATCGGTTTGGAAAAAGTCGGCAAACTGCATATTTGCCATCGGTTCGTACAAAATTGCGCGATATATTTGAATATCCGCCCCATCGCTCACCTTTACATTCCTTGGTGGTTTCATCGGAATTGTCTCGGCAGTCGTCCGTTAAGTCGCAGACCCACGAATACGGTATACATACTCCGTTCGCACATCGAAATTGCCTTAAAGAACAAGGCATGCCTGAAATGAAATAAAGTAAACAAAATGAAATTGCCGCTGCGTCAGCAAGATGAATCGCCGACAGAAAATTATGCGAAACAAAAAGAAGCAGAAATAAAATAAAGAGGTTAGAAAAACACGACGTGTCGTATGCTTATTACTGCGAAGTCAACATTGACATATCACCTTTTTGTCTTATAACAATTTCAAGTTTACAACTTACATTACGTTTGTTTTTCTTATATATTTTTTCGTTCGAAACGATGAACACGAGAACTAATAATTTCATGATTAAACGAGGATGATTTCGGTTCATTTTGAAAGAATTAACGCACTGTAGACAATTCACGATGTTCCAGTGAGCTCGTTCGAAAAAACCATGGTGGACCTCATCCAATAATTCAGCAGCACTTTCAATTCACTTCCATTACCACGGCGGGACGACTCGCGGGAAATTCGTATTATTTAAATTCGATTATGTCACGAACGATAACGTGAAAGCACATCGAACTTGTATATCTCGTTTAACATTTTCAGCAGTGCCAACGATTTAATTATACTTTTAATACCGTTTCAACTTCGAGAATGTCAACCTCAAAATTCATCGAACCATGTATTCTTTTCACAAACATAGATTAATGTCGTTTATATTCAGAGTGACCAGTACGCATTTAAACGTAGAACGTAAAAAACGAGAGATCGAATAGTCAGTGTTCGATCGTGCTATCGAAGACACTCTCCTTCCTATTATTGTTACAGTCTCTTTATAACGAATTATTTATAAAATAATTTAATAACAGTGACGAGAATCGTTTTCCTAATTTAATGGTTTTAATATATAATATTTTTCGACAACAGGAATTGGATCCTTTTCAAACGCCGATAACGCCATCTGGATAAAAAATTCGATACGTGCATTAACCATGCGAAGTTAGTCGCGATTTGTGAACCGCGTCGATTTTTTGAATTTTGAGAAAGCATTTTACACGAATAATAACACGTTGACTACTGTTCTCGAATCATAAGGATATACATACAAAAATGAAACGTGTTGGTATTTCATTGAATGAAAGAATTTATAGTCATAAATCATTCGATTATTGGTTACGAAATCGATCTTACCATATTGTTGTTGTTTACTAAGTTGTTCAATATCAGATCAGATGTTATCTTGCGCGCAATTTAAACCGCTATGAATATTTCGTGCATAATGCATCAAGTTTTTAACATTATATCAAAACAAATTGAATGACTACACATATCAATAACATATATAAAAAAACAGATGTCATTATTTTGAGTAACATGACCAAATTAGCATTGCAGGAAATTTGTCTGCTGTATTAATGTAACCTTTAACTGTAATGACGTTTCAAATAGTTGAATCATCAATTACATTGATACATGTAATAAACGTCGAATAACGTTTAACGTAACCGTATACTTGGATGCGTAATGTTTGGAAATTTTTAAATTTGCTGCACTAGTTAACCGACAAGATCCTACACTGCACTTGGATCGACAAAGTCTAATAGAGAAATTATGTGATATCTCAAATACATGAATGAAACGATTATCGATTTATCGCGAGATACTCGATTGATTCGTGTAACCGTTCTGCACGTATCAGTTTATAACGCGGAAGTTTACTTTTAATTTCGATATGTTTATTGACGAAAATAATCAAATAGCTTTGTAATTTCATATTTAACGCGAATCCTGTTAAACACGCGAAAGGGTATTTGAAATTATAACGTAATGAAATGTACCATAAAAGTTGCGTCTAAAATGTTATAACGTGTTCGCTTACTTTGAGGTACGCTAAAAACGTAATAACAGTTCCAAAAAGTGTTATTTTAATTTTATTTTTGCTTTCATAAGTTAAAAATGATAGTATATATTTAAACATTATTCGGGCCTGCAATGCTTTGTACTATATGTAAATTGTCAGTTTAAGTTATTAAACGACATTAAAAGGTCGTTGAAAACACCGAGGTTAGATTATAAAATGAAGCACGTGTAATCGATAATTCTATTCACCTTTTATAACATTATTCCGTACGCAATATGCCATTACTTCTAATATAAAATTTCATCCTACATAATGTAGCGGTTGATTTTCATAATCAACCAATTTTCGTAACATCAGTCTCGTTATTTTGATTTTTGGTGACTACTGAATTTATAAGATACGCTTTGTAGCTAAATCCAACCAATATTGTCAGACATAAATGTAAGCATACATTATTTCATATAAAAATACAATATGTATCTTTAATACTCATATTAATAAATATGTAATTATTTTATTTTAAAAAATATTTAATTTTTACGTAAATGTACACAACAAATTTCTGTAAAACTGTTATTAACAGATATCAATTTTCCGCAGGACAAAATGAATGTCATAAATTCAAATGCTTACCGTCGTTAAAAAAATAATAAAAATAAAAATAAATTCATTTCGTATGATAATTAAAAAAGGGCAACGTGTACTTTTGCATCGTTTACATGTACGTATGTGTGTAAATTGTAGACAAAGAGGAAACCATATTTCGATTATATGCAAACATTTAAAATTTAAAAAAAAATGTCCTGAACATCAAATGAAAGGCATAATGTATCAAGATCTTCACGTGCTTCCATCTATCGCAGTATTCCCCCATTTTCAGACTAACTCACTTTTCACTCTACCAGCATCCCCTTCATAGAGATCGTAGGTATTGAGCTTATACGTCAGATATATTTTTTTATATATCGGCGACTGTCCTCCTTTCCCGCGTCCTACGTCGGCCGATTTGTAAGAACTCATTGAAAATGTACACGAAAGATGTCGATTATGTAAGCAGCATTGGCGCATGGCACATCCCATACATATTTTGTCAATCAACAATACCATACTCTCGAGTCAATTTTCAATGACAACATTAATCGTTCGCATTTAGCATTCTTTCTCTGCTTAACCGATATCGAAAAAATGTATATGACTTACTGTCAATAGAGGAAGCATTAGCCGCTACGAGGAAGTCGAATATAGTCAGCAAGTACAGCGGCAAAAGTACCAGAAGACAGCTTCGCCCCATGACAACCCTCTTTGGTCGCACACCTGTCTTTTTCCTTTCTTCCACCACTTCCTTTCAACACTACCACTGACACCAAGGAATTTCAAAAGTATCCCTCGATTGTTTCTCTCACGATTTTTCTTTCTCCCGACTGACTTTGACAGCCGGCAAACCGGGAGATCGATCAACAACAACAACAATCCTCACTCACGGTGTACTGAAATGATTACCAGCAAAGAATTGGCAAGACCACGCGGTCCAACGGTCTTTAATCTGCATCGGGCGAGTCACAAATTCTCAATCGTGTACACGCAAATAGCCAACAATTAAGAGTAGCTGCGTGCTCGAGGGCAGAACAAAAAGTACACTCCACGAAGTGGTTGAGACTGACAGGCCCGCCCCGTGTGCAAGCACTTTCGTGTGTGTCTCCCTGTATATCCCCTTTGCTCCCTCTTTTCTTCTTCTATCTTTTTCATTCGCTGATATGAATTTGTTGTACCTTTCTTACTCTCTCGCGCAGCTGTTCTATTTCTCTTCACACTGCACAGAATCGTTCTACCTTTCTCTCTTTTTCCTTTCCCTCTCCCGGGCGAAACACCGATGACCACTGATTCTGACGCACCGGTATCGCGCCACCTGCGCGCGCAACTACTCCCTCTGGTTCGTCGCCTTTTCTACTATTCTTCTCCCCTTCTTTTCTATCGTTGATAAAGTTACGTTATATGCGTACTCGTAACCTGCTTCTTTAACTGTATATCGTGACCCAGCTTAATATATTGTCTTTAATAAACACAGGTGAAAAATATCTCATCCAATGAAATTCCTCTTTTTGCTTTCCCCGAAGAATGACACCTTAAAGAGTAACATCTCAATACTTTTTATATTCCGGTTTACCCCACAAATACTATAAAGCGTTTGCACATGTTATTGACCTTTAGTTAATTAAATTGTTAACCATAAATTATTTAATTTTTTTTCATATCAAATGATATTTATATATTTAGGTAAACTATATCCCCTCCGCGTGTTTTTTGATTTCCGCGATATGACGAGTACCGTAAAAGTCTATGTGACTAACACCATCGACACTAAATTCTCTAGAAAATTTTTTGTTACCTATAAAAAGTTTATTTAATACATTAGTCTTATGTATCATAACTTAATACCCACACTTTTACACTAATTAAACATGTACACAAACAATCTTACAATCTTACTGCAATGTTAATTGTTAGTATATTACACTTAAAATATTATATACAAAATATACAATTATAAATTTTGTTATGAAAATATTATTCTTGCACTGAAGATATAGTACTCCACATTAATATGTTGGGTCCATTAGTAGCTAGAAAACAGTTTGTTTGTGGATGTACACTCAGTGACACTATTGGATGTTTGGTTGGTTTAAATCCTGAAAGCTTTGTAACTACTTTCTGTGATACTAGATCCCATATCCATAATTTTCCATCTGCTGATCCAGAAAGAATACGAGTATCTTGGGTGTCTACACTTGATTCCAAGCATAAATTATTTGCTATATGACCTGTAAATTCTCCAAGCAATTCTCCTGAATCTTTGTCTATTAATCTAATTACAGCATCTGCACAACTGACTACTATGCACTGTCCATCTCTTGTGAAACTGGAACATGTTACTGCATCTGTAATATTTGTAATAAAATAAAATGTGTTACATCTTAATAGACTGTGAATTTATTTTTTTTTATCTTATTAACTAACCTCCCATATAATCTGCATACATTTCACCCACACGAATGTCATATCTACGAATTTTACCATCAAATGAAGATGATAGAATTTCATGATCTGAAACTCTGATGCTGGAAATAGAATCTTTGGCTTCATTTAAACATTGTACAGGTTCTAGTACTTTGGAACGTACATCCCATAACATAACTGAATTATCCCTTGATCCAGAAACAACCATAGAAGATTCTTCATTAAACCTATCATTAAAGAATGTGTTTGTATATCATTATAATTCATTTATATACATATATATAACACTCTTTAGGTATATACCTTACTGCATTAACTGGACCTGCATGACCCCTTAAACGACGAACTGGTGTTCCTGTTGACACATCCCAAAGAATAACTGATTTATCTAAACCACAAGAAACAATCTGACTACTATCACAAGATGAACAAGCATCCATTACTTCATCGCCATGTCCACCATATGTTTTTAAAGCAACACCTCTGTGTGGATTCCATAATTTTAATTTTCTGTCAGAGCCACAGGTTAAACAATAAGCGCCATCAACTATAACAAATTATTAAATTTATATCAATAACATCTTGTAAATAAAAGATTAATATTAAATAAAAAAGTACAAACAGTACAGATACATACCAGTAAATCGTACAGCTCGTACAGCTCCCTGTTTACAATCTATTTCTCTTATAAATTTATACTCAATTAACATTTTAAACACAACCTACTATGTTATTAAATATGTTGAGAATACAATAAACTTATTATTATGATAATCATTTAATCTTTCTTTAGCAAGTTTATGAATTTTTCAAACCTTGTTTACTTCAAAATGTATACGTTTATGTTTAACTTTATATATTAACGAATATTGAAATATTGACTCTGATTAGTCCTAACTTTTACAATGTTTATGACATCGAATGTATATACCCAGTGATCTTTTATTCTGTATACTTCTCATATCATTCGTTCTTCTCTTTCTTTCAAATATGTTTAGCCACTATGTATATGACTAACCGAATTGAAAATCTAACATAGTAAAATAACTCTAGGTGGAAAGCAACCTACTGAAACTAGCTCAGTTGCGGGAAACAAGTATGACTAAGTTGATAAACTGAGAATAAAAATAGAAAGTTTATGTTATTTTTCTTTATATTTGAACGTTTTTTTCTTGTGGAGTACATTGAAGCGCAAATCTGATTTCCTTAATGAAAGTAGCATTTAAATAATAGTTATTCATTTCGAAAATGTCTATTTCCCTTGATCGCCATTTTCCCTAGAGAAACTAGACTAGTCTCAAGCGTACAAAATATCACCATTGTCTATTGGTATTCATGAATGCAAAAATATGTAAACTTCTTTCAAGATACCTGACAACCTGTAGTTATGAATGAACGTAAATGCAGGACACGCATATTATATCAGCGACTGTAGATAGCAATTTTTGTTGATGGTGCACGAAAATATCACTGTGTTGTAACTGTGAAGTAATATATTTATTACCAGTGAAGTTTGTATCGTATTTGTTGTTTAATACAGTTCTATATATATGTCATTTTAAGTAAATACGCGAGTTTGTTTGCAAAATTAGAAATATTTAAGGTTAATACCTGTTAAACTGCAGTAAATTTTTCAAATTTTACACGTTGATGAACAGAACAAATGATTGATTACAATAATTTTTAATACAATACATTATAAAAATTATGTAAATAAAATGGTTGCAAACACAGCAGATGATATGCCTGGATCCATATATCATGAAAAACAAGTAATATAATCAGTATTTCATATCTGTTATGTATAGTTGTTGAATGTGTTAAAATATGTTCCTATTCATATTTTTTATGTTTATAGATAAAAGAACTTTGTGCATTACATGCATTAAATAATTTGTTCCAAGAGAGGGGTTTTAACAAACAAAAATTAGATCAAATTTGTTACAGTTTAAGTCCAGATGTATGGATTAATCCACATAAATCACTATTAGGATTTGGCAATTATGATATTAATGTTATTATGGCAGCATTACAGCAAAAAGGACGTGAAGCAGTATGGTTTGATAAGCGCAGGTTTGTAATTTATAGTGGAATCATAGTCAAGTCAATTTGGAAATATTTATGAATTCAAAAATTTTTTTCAGAGACCCCAAATGTCTGTGTTTAGATAATATTGAAGGCTTCATATTAAATGTACCAACAAAATATAAATTAGGATTTGTGTTACTTCCTTTAAAAAGACGTCATTGGATTGCCCTAAAGAAAATTCATGGGGCCTTTTATAATTTGGATTCGAAACTTGATTCCCCACAACTTATAGGACAGGTTAGTTAATAATTTATTTTTTTGTGTGAATATTAAAGTGCCTTTTTATTATAATATAAATAAAGAATTAAATTAAATAACATGTTCTCAGGATAATGACTTACTTACATACCTAAAGGATCAGATAGATAGTAAAGAGAAAGAATTATTTCTGGTTGTGTCAAGAGAAATAGACAATAGTCAAGGATGGTTAATAAATACATGTACAAATAAAGAGAAGGATAATGCAGATAGAGATGATGCAGAAAAAGATAACACAGAGAAGGATAACACAATTACATATATTGAAGATAGTTGTACAGATATGGATTTAAAAAAAATGGAGTCAAAAGAATTGAATGAAAACGAAAATTCTCTAGATAACAAAAATGCTAGATAATTAAAGGCTTTTAATTTAAATAAACAACTCAATATTTCAGGCCAAAATAAATTTAAAATTGAGATGACAATAGTCCAATAATAAACAACTTTAGAAAATTGAAATAAAAAAAAATCAATATTGTAGGCATGATAGGAAAATGCGCAAGGAATAATCAGTCAAGGAAAGAATTTATTCAAAGATTAGATAAATTGACAAGGAATATGGGTTTTATAGGTTTTACAAAATTACTATAAATCATTTTTTATAGAAAATATACAATCTTCGACTAGATGACTTTGTAATTTCTTCGTTTAATCAAGCGTTCAAGAGATACTCTGTTTTCTCTCGTTTGATTGGCGTACAGGAATTATCGCCGAATTTTCTTTACGAAGTCTCTAAGTCGTATCCGAGAGCGGTCGATGATCCTTCCTCTCGGAACAGCTAATTAAATTAATTCATACCACAAGCTTCTATTTAATATGGTTTCGTTACTATCCGCGGTCACTAGAGTCAACAGTATGGTTGTCAGGCTCGCTTCTAACAGTTTTGCGAGGTGTACCTTCTGCGAATTTTCTCTACACTTGCCTTGACTAGAATATTGCGTATAAATTTCTTTGAATAAAAAAGGAGTAACAATTATTTTTGTTCTATTCATGTATATGTATATAATACATATAACACATGGCAGCTTTATTACATTCAAAAATAAATAATAGTTTGTTAATTGCACATTACTAATTATTAATTTAAATATATATGATTTTTAATAAAATCGGGCGAAATTTATAATATATTTTGCAATTGAACTAGAAGCCTTATTTATTTAAGAAAGTAATATATATTTTAAATGTACCATTTATTTTATATATTTATAAGTTAAAACGCTTTTTTATTTTAATTTTATTATTTTAACAAAACTTACATTCACAATATTTTTCTGTGGTTTACATTCTTTAACATTGCTTTGTCAGTATTACTCAATGTACATCGGTAATTTGTGTTACAAAATGTATTGATTTAATAAATATATATTATACTATTGTTCTTTGGATGTGTAATAACACTATGTACAAAACATTATTGCACTATTACAAGAAAAGATACAAAATAACATGTTTCTGAAGAATTATAGTTCTTTCTTAGAATCTGTTCTAGTCACATTAGATTATTTAATTAAATGATATTAACAACGGTAAAAGACAATCTTTTATACATTCAGCACAATATATTGCTATGTAATTGTGATAACATGTAATTGGTATATAATATATGTAATTTTTTTACATTTATTATACATTTTAACATTATACATTTAATTATAAGGTCATTATTTTATAACAAGATATACGTTATATTTGTTAAATCACATGTTTCAATTTTGTGAAAGAGTTGTTTCTAACAAACTTATTGTTTAAATAAATGTTCACAATGTTTAATAATCAATAATCTATTTTTTAATTACCATTTTATAGCAAGAGCAATATCTGCCTTTTTTATTTCATGATACTGAGTATGAAAATGTGCTAAAGCCTTATCTGTATATTCTCCTCCCAACCAATTTCTGTACAAATTTTGGACTGCTTTGTTCTTCTCAGGATTACTCTCAGGAAGTTCATGATACATAGATTCTAATTTTAATGCTAACTCGCGTGGTTGAATATTGTCTACAGGTCTAATTTGTGCTCCTCCATTAAGACATCCTGGATAATTAAATTAGAATATATAGAATATATCTTTCTACTGTAATATTATTCAAATGAAACTTACCACAAGGACATGCCATGACTTCAACATAATCATATGGGCATTTCCCTCTTTTTAGTTTTTGTACAAGATTTTGTATATTCCTAAATCCATTGACAATAGCAAATTTTAATAGTGGCTGCTCATTCTTGTAAAAAATTGCTTCTTGAAAATCAGGATTTCTTAAATTCTTAAATTCAACTATAACATCAGTTTCATCAAATAGATATTTTGCAGCATAACGGAAGATAAAATCTGCATAACCACCAGAACCTGAACCACTATGACTGCATAAATTAGTTTCTAAATTTTCTGTTTGTACTCCAAAAGGTTTTTGAACTTCTTTTTCATTTACTTCACTCAATGTTACATTATATTCATTCAACATTTGTTCTAGTTCAACTGTAAGAAAAGATGAATATATATATCATAAATATATAAATGTATAATATTTGAAATACATACTTGGTGTTATAACACAATCTACATCTCTAGAATTTCTTTCTGCATTATAAAAATCTTCTCTGGATGCTTCTAATTTTTTATCATAACAAGGCATAAGAGTTACATGATATATTTGTTCTGGTGAAAGACCCTTAGTTTCAGCTAAATGATACTTGACTAATGATCCCATAATTTGCTGAGGAGACTTTGTAACACTAATGTATGGAAGTATAAAATTGCCATGAGTTTTTTCAGCATAACATACCCATCCTATACAACAAAACGAATAATTTTTAAATGATAATATTGTATAAAATAAATGTAAGAAATGATATTTCTTCATTCTACCTGGACAAGAAGAAGATAACATTGGTAACTGATTTGTTGCACCTCCTTTAGCTGCTTTGTAACGTTCTACAAATTCTTTAGCAGACTCTAATAATGCAAAATCATCAGCTATAGTCATATCTACAACTATATCTGCTCCTAACTGATAGAAGTATCCAGCAAGTTTATTTAATGCTTGTTCTGGATTAAGATCATAACGTTTTGCTATAGACAGTACTGCTTGTACAGAGAGACTAACTACTATAAATTTAGAACATGTACCATCTTCATTCTAGGAAGTAAAGGTACAATAGAAATGATTAGTTACTTCTGAATGTGAAGTAAAAAAAACACATTATTTTAATAATTACTACCTGACACTCAGATACTTTTTCTTTGAACACTCTCAACAGTTCTTCTTGACTTTGTTGTGTGACTAATACACTCTCTGCAGATGTAATACAACCGCTACAAGCTAAACAATCAGCAAGCGTGATTTCAACTTTCTGTAGTTTTTCAAATTGCCCAACCTAAGAGAAGTAAACAATTGTAAAACAATATACAAAAATACATGTGCAAATATCAGTAATTAAATATTGTACTTCATTTAATATTGAGGGTACTCCATCTTCTTCAATTTTTATTTTTGCACCAGTTTTACTTTTTGATGCCTGAATTTCTATAGGTTTTATACATTCCTGCAAACATAAATGACATATAATAAGAATTGTCATTAAACAATTAGAAGAATAATGAAAATACCTGTGAAGGAGTAATGAAATCATCCAAACTTGTAAGCTGTAATGCTCCACTAAATCGAGATGTCATTTTCTCTTTAAATAAAATTAATAAATATAATTCAAAGTAATTTATATTATTAAATAATTTAACAACGAAATCGTGGATATAATAATGGTACAAGAAAAATTAATTACAAATGCTACGAACATGTATGACACTTCTTCAAATTCAAAACATAACCTTACTTTTAATTTTTAAATAAGAAAGTCAATAAACTTTTATATTTACATATTTATTATTTGAATTTGAAATAAGAAAATATTTGAACCTCTCTTTCTCTCTCTATACATATGTATATATATAAAAGTTAAAATATTAATTTATCAATTATTCGATATTTTAATGATATCGAAATACTATCTATGATTAACTTTGTTCTGAATAATATATACAATTAGTTTATGAGAAAGTATACATATAGGAACAAAAATATTTAAAAGATCTGACAAGATCTATTTGAGTGATATTGATGATACAAAGTAAATACAGCAATAATTCTATATTTTTTATAAATGTGAACATATATTAGCAAATTTTTATTTAATCGCTACAGGTGGCAATACACATATTCAGATATTTTGTATGTATGATAAACACTATACATGTATAGATTACATATTTCATCCCTTACATTGTATAAGCAATTGAGAACCTCTGATTTAAGGGTTCAGGGGGGTAAGCGTGCGCCTGCAAGATGGCAATTCTTCCTTCTGCCAAACACGAACAGTGGTATTTGATACGATTTTTATGAAATATTAGTTTTAAGAATGACTGAAGTGAAAAAAGATGATGTTGTTAAAATTTTACACACTTATCCTCTATGCAGAGTAAGTAAAATTTACTTTACATTAATTGTATCGTAAAATGTATTGTCAAGAAAAGTGTTCAGTTCTTTTTATTTAATCAATAGACGTCTTAATACAAAATAAATACCATGTATACTATTTATTTTTCTTAAATTTATTGTCATGTAATAACTTCATGATTTTAAGTATATATGTATTACTATTTATTTATAAATTACATAAATTATTATTTTTATTTCTGATATAGAAATGCGATATGTCTGACGAAATGAAACAAGAAGCAATGGAACTGTGTGTTACTGCTGCAGAAAAATATGCCGATAATTATGAAAGTGTTTCTCGAATGATTAAAGAGACCATGGATAAAAGATTCGGCGCATCTTGGCATACAGTCGTCGGCGAGGGATACGGATTTGAAATAACTTATCAGCTAAAACATCTTCTATATATGTACTGTGCTGGAAACCTAGCGATATGTATATGGAAATCGGCTTAGTAAAATTGACAAAAATTAAAACAAGACGAAAACGCGAACAGATGTACAAATCATATTCTTATAATTTTCATAGCAACTAATTCCAAAGAAACATTTTATGTTTTGAATGACAGATTGAACGACAAATGCAATTAAATCGTACAAATAAACTATTAAAATAAAACGACTAATCATAAATTAGTATATTTACAAATGTTTAACATTTTACGACCAAAGATGTCGTTGACATGTCAATGAATAATATTATTGAAAAAAATGTTCAAATTTATATAACAATAAATTTACGTATTTATCGATAATTGTCAATAGTAAGGCATAACGAAATAAAAGAATGAACATAATTATATTTTTTATATATATAAAAGAATATTATTTATAAGTAATTGTAATTGTTTAAATATCAATTTTAATTTTATAGAAGTTTTTTTTCGTAAATTTTTATTTTTATTAATTGATGTTATCATTTAGTTCGTGCCATTTAAATTCATACACATTAACTTGTGATATTCGTCGTATAATTTGTATTTTTATATACCTTTATTCATTTATATAAAAATGTTTAATGTAATTGTTATATAATGTTATATGTATAAAATATATATTACTATGTACAGGTAACATTATCAAATACGTGTTATTATTAAATATATGTATGTATCTTCTGAAATATAGTAACTTTATATTTTAATAGTAGTTATTACATTGAAATATTTGCCATTTAAAATTTCACAAAAGGTTCTAAAAGTACTGGTTCACAATATTTCTTGTTAGTCCTTTTTTATGGACTTATAATTACTACTTACACAATTCATTACAGATTTCTAGTATGAATGTTTCTGTTATATTAACTTCTATTACTAGCACACAAAAATATACATACATTATACAATTTTATGGTATAATAATTTTGTAGTATAATTGTTTGTCTAAACATTTATTTTTGCATTTAATTACACTATCATTTTACCATTACTGTTTACAGCACTCTTTTACTACAAGTTCATTAACCTTTTTTATTTTGATTTGAAAAATATAAAAACGTATCTTTTAGTTCAAAATATATGACAAATTTTTTAACATAATTTCATGATTTACCTAAGAGATCAAAATTAAGATATTTTTATGTAAGAACTTTAACAGATGAAGTTATAATAACATAATCTACAAAAAATTTGTTAAAAACTACTATTCCATCTGAAATAGTTATTTATAAAGGATGCTGTAACAAATGATTAATATATTTAGAAACATATATAATTTGCTTACGTTGTAATGTATCTAAAATAATTAAATAATGTAATAGATATTAAATAATACATATACTTTGATCAAGATGTGATAGTAATAGACTGATAAATATTAAATATTTACATAGCACTAAGGAATGATTTTAAATTACATAAATGAGATTTGTTACATTATTTAATAGCAATAATAACAATTTAATACCTTTATACTTTTTAATTATTTACTATCACCGTTAACAATACATATACTTTCCATTTTCCATTTCTGTAAGACAAACTCTTTAGTATTTACAACTCTTACAGAGACTTCTATACGTGCTGCTAAGTCATATGTACCAGGGGATGGAAGTACTGCTTGCAATTTTATAGTACTATTAGCAAGTGGTTCTATATGTGAACAAATCGCCGAGTGACAAGCATATCTGTAGTGAGCAGAAGCTTGTGGTAAAAAAAGTTGTGACTTTATACTCGGAAGATGGCTTTCACTGAAACAAAAATAAAGCAATTTATAATTAACAAATAGTCAATTATGGTAGAGTGCTGTTATATGACTCTTAATGAATTTGTAATTAATATTATTACCTGCTGGTTCCTATTGTATTGACTTTAATATCAATTTGTGACTCCAAATGATTTTGTATGTACATTATTACTGGAACAAAGCACAATTGACTCTGATTAAAATTATGCGTGATTTGTCTAGCATGGCTCAAAGAAAAGGAAATTATATTTTTCAAAAATTCTGTTTCTAATGCTTGATCTTTAATAGTCACAGCCATGGAGTCGAGTATATTTTTATCTGGTCCAAAGATTTTCAAACGTCCACCATATTCATTTGTTTCAACTTGAATTTCCTTGGGGTGTTTGTAAGTTTTGTTCAAATACTCAATAGCAAGATGATGTTGACCAATTGCTTGTCTAGTAACAATTCCGCCTTCAATTATTTTTGCTCTCCATTTAATGATTAAAGTAGAATTTAATGTCATAGTAACGGATAAAGATGATTGTTGTACATTTTGTGGTAATCGTTGGGATTGCTGCTGTAATTCGGTTAAATTTTCATTTACATCTAATGATGGAATATTTCTTCTTTGTATGAAACTATTATACGGATATTTCTCATTTGATTCCGTACAATCACTTTCCTGAATCAAAGATACAGTAGAAAGTACCAACTCATCATCATTTTTCTTTCTTAATTTAAGCATTAAATGAAACATTTCCTGAGGTTGTATCTTAATATCTGTTGGTAAAACAGATGAACTAAATATGGACCATAAATCGCTTTGAAACAATACTTTAGTCAATAAAATTTCATTCATAACAGGATCATGAATTTGATTTGCATTTTTAATGCATACTATTAAATTTAATGTGGGTAAAACATCTTTAAATAATATACTCCTCGAGGCTATTGCAGTAATGTGTATAGAATCTAAAGCTGTAAAATGCCAGCTGTGTCTACAAAGTCTATGTTTTATCATGGTTTTTGAATCAACATTTTCATAGTAAAAAAGTAAATCTAAACGATGATTTCCTTTTTCATCAGGTGCTCTAATCCAGACTGGTATGGTATGAGTTTCTCCAACATTTAATGTATCAGATGGTAATGGAATCTTAATTATAAGTCTATTACTTTTTTTTGCTACATGATCTGAAATAATAATTAAATTATTGATATAATATTACTTCAATTATCTTTTAATTGATTTAATATGCATTTGAAAATATATACCTTCTTGGCTATTAGAATACTCGTCTCCTAATGAAATAAGTTTAGCGTCTGTAGATGCTAAATAAACATTGGATAATGATGCATTACCCACGTTTTTTAAAGTAATTTCTAATTTTTGAATTTCGCCACATAACATCTCCGAATTTAATTTATTAAAGAAAACCTGCAACAAAATGTGTACTTATTACGATGTAAAAGATAATTCACGCGTAATTATATTCAAACATTAAATACCTGCATAAAAGGTGCCTTTTCAATAACATTTATTTCTAATCTATAATCTACTCCATACATGTTTGTACCAGGTTTTTCTTTGACGTTCTTCAATTTAGGCCCCCTAATTTCAAATAATCTTTTTCCAGTAATAGCTATTGTTGGATTAACAACTGGCGGATCTATTACATGTGTTGGATTAGATAAATTATAACTTAAGCCTAACACTTTTAATTCCCCCACTTTCTTTGGTACAAGACTTAGTGTAATATTTTGTTTACAAGCTGGTTGTAAAATAATTTTTTCGATTACTTGTGTTTCCACTGGTTTTAAGTCTTCCGGAGATTTCATTTCATTTGTAGTTTGATTATTGCCACAATTAAATAACCATAATAAGGTCACATCAGATAATGGCAGCGGTATATGCAATGGATTATATAATTCAATAAAAAAATGCACTGGCTCATCCACAACAGAATTTGGTTTTACACTGTTATTACTTGTTTTTGAGTATAATGCAACTGTTGGTTTAAATATCATTGGAGGGGATCCCTGAGCTTCTGTTATTAGCATCTCTTCCATTTTTGACCACCTCACATCATCACATTCTTCAGTATCAAATGAAACATGACTTGCTGGAATATTATTGTTATATGATTCAGCTAAAGGTCCATATAATACTTTAATACTATAACTATTTATTAACGGTAAAGGCAAGATAGGAAGCTCTTCATGATTCGATAAATTTTCTTGCGACAGTAACTGTAATTTATAAATAGTAATTAATCTAAAAAACATATGGAACACGAAATAAAATATTACATGCAATTAGTGATATGCATACTTACATTATGGATATGTAAAAATTCACGTAAAAATGCAGCTTGTTGTGTAGCTGGTTGTTTACTATAGACATTTAATAATTTTTCGAATGCTTTAACTGCTTCATTAACTTGTTTTAATGATGCAGCTTGTCTACCAATGGTAAAATGTATATGATCTTCAGCTAATGACCAACCTCTTCCATTATATACCTATTAATTATTATTTTAATAGTAGTGAATAATATTTCAAGGACAATTAATTAAGAATACCTGGTATGCTTGTTGATAACATCGCAACGAATGCTTTCTTTGACCTGCTTTTGAAAATCTATGACCAGCAAGAACAGCATGAAATGCGTATTTGCGCATCATTTTTGGCCCAATAAAACAATAAGCAGCTTGTTCTAATAGGAGTGCTGAACGTAAATCTGAATCTTCGCTGGTCATACGAATTAATTGTTTTGCCGCTTCCCCATACAAATTTCTACCCTTCAAGCATTCGGCACTGAGAAGCGTTGCTCTTGTTGCAAACTGAGGCATTTTGCAACTATTTGAATAAGTTAATATCGCATCATCCATATATTCAATAGTTTTTCTATTAGTTTCACCTTGCATAAATGCACTTAAAGCAGCCATTTCAAGAGCACCTGCATAATAAAGCCAAGCTTGATCTGCTGCAAAATCTCTCTTTGCACTGTGATATGCTTGGTAAGCAAGTGAATAGTGACCAAACATAAAACATAAGTCACCTAAACGGCGCAGCTGTAATTCTGGAGATTCTGTTGTATAACTGAAATCCAAAGAAGCTGGAACTTTATATATTTATATATGCTATGTACAACTTTTTTTACATCTAATATATAAGTTGCTATTATACAGTAGAAAGGTATGTAAATATTATTACACATACATTACAGCATTTGATGGAGTAGGTCCTGGTATTCCAGGTTTATTTGTTCCAAACCATCGTCTTGTAGCACTAAAAAGAGATCTACTGACACCTTTTTTGTTCGAAATTACATCACTTAATAAACCAATCTGCTTTTCCACATATGGTAATAAACTTTTTAAACAAAATTCCGTTATCAATGCTCTCAGTCTTTCAAGATCTTGTGTAGATAATCTAACACCATGCTGTGTTATTAAGTAATTAGGAGAGTCTGCCCAAACATTTACATTTATTGGTGTATCACTAACTGTTTGTCCTTTCATATACTCAATAGAACTTTGTGACTTATCAACTATTGGACTTAAAGGATGCATTGTAACAGATACAGCTTCCTGGCCAACTTCCAAGTGTGTAATTGTTGATTCAGATACATCAGAAGAAAAGCTGATAGTATCATTCAAATCTGGAGAAACCAGTACAGAATTTTGGGGAGCTATTGGAGTGCCAGCCTGGCTTGTTCTAAAATGTACAATACACATTTGAATATGTTTTGTAAAAATTTAAGAAATATAACTAAAACATACTTGTCAGTATCTGTTGTAACTTCATTTGGCATAGAGGAAACACCACTAGTATCTGCAGGTGTGCGAGGAGAACTATTTTGTTCACTACTCCCAGATACTTCAGAGTGTTTTATTAAAAATTGACTCCAAGGATCTGGTAACTGAGTATTGTCATCAAATTGACCGGGTGGTCTCGAATTCATTTGAAGTAAAAAACAATTATTAGCACCATAGATATTTTTCATTTCTGTATAAACTACTTCAGCTCTATAAAAGATGCAAATAATTCACTCAAATAAATAGAATTAAATATATAAACAGAAAAGAAAATAAAAGCAAATACCTGTTCCTATCATCCTGCAAAGTATCATGTACTAATATATAGTATCTAAGTGTATTGTTATTAAACCATTTTGGCAATTTTCCAGGTATACTTTGTTGTAACTGTGCACCCATGGTTTGTATTTTTTCCAAAGGATTGTCTTCTGCTGTAGAAATAACTATCATACAAGCAAGGAAGTGTTTTGTAAATTCATGATCAGATGGGAACTGAACACTCAAAAACATTTCTCTCCATGCTTCAAACCAAGGAACTGAGACAGGAATATCAAGTTCCGTTGTTCCAATTCGAACAGAAGTTGTATGTTCGCAGGTAGCTGAACTAACTGCTTCATTTAACATTTTTCTAGCAATACTTGGTTCTGGAGGATGTGCATTAACATCTTGTACAAAAAGACGAAGATTTCTAACACTTATACTGTTTCCTTGTGGATCTTTAAAATGACCTATGAAAATGAAAATATACATCTATATAAAATATCACTAGTAAAAGTAGTTAGAAATAAAAATTAATCATTAGATGTATGTTGTTTACGTATATTTATTGTTTTTTATATATTACATTATTATACATTCTATATACACGTGTATGTGTTATATTCTTATACCAAAAATCTTACCTTCAGTATTTAATTTGCAAAACGGTTGCAAAAGTTCAACGAATGATAAATTATTTTTCTGACATACCGCATCAGCTGCAGGTGAACATACCGCAGCAATTTGAGGTGAAAAAGCGTTACTTATAAACTCGCGAGGGGTTAATTTACATTGAGCCATGGTAATTACTATAATTCTACAGGTAACCAAGCTTACGCATATATTAATGCGTTTATATGTATATGTATATATATATATACGTATATATTACACGACTATTATCATTTTGAACACTACATTACTACTCATTTATTATCTTAATAGTTGACAGAAACCAAACGATTAATACATTCCGAGGAAGAAGTGGTAAACATCTCTATCGAACAGCTGTTTTGTGAATATTTACCCATAAAGGGTGCAAATATAGAGATGACATATATGTGTCATGAAATCAACCGGAAGCAATCATAAACGAAAACTGGGAAATTTTTTCGCAACCTTTCCTGTAGATGGCAGATATTTGGACAAATTGTGCATTCATGCTTTCCGTCATCAAAGATGATGAGTTTTCGATCATTTTGCGCAAATTCTGATGAGTTCTAATACGCTGCATAACCAAGGATAACACTAGACATGCATACTCAATGTTCTTTTATTTAGTATACTCTTCTACATCATTACTTCTTTCCACAATTTATATATTTTTGTTCACCTTGTATATGATCACGAAGCTAAAAACAAACGATAGATTGATATTATACTGATGGTGCCCAATTTCTTGAATTCAACAAGGATGTGCGAAAGAAGTGCAGGAGAACTTATTACAGTTTATTTTCATGTTTTATTCAATATTTTAAATATTATTCATTCAATGAGAAATGTCTCGTATTATTTGAGTATATTGCACGATTTAAAACATTCTCTAATGAATGCAAAAATTAAAAAATTAAACGGTCCAAGGAATCGATTTTAAAAGACCTATCGAAAATGAGAAGTATCACCGGTGGTTTACAATCTACTTAATACGTACACATATGCTGCTTTGGATCATCATCTGGATGAAATGAGATCGTGCAATCATTGACAGATATGTCGTAAGGAAATGATTGTTTTTAGTTGTTTAAAGTTTATTGTGTGATTATGTAGAAGAACAATGCATAATGTGAACATATTATAATAGGTAAAAAAATATTATTACTCTTATGTAAATGAACTATCAGCTTTCATATTGTTAGTTTACTTTCACATTCAAAATGTATATATAATGACTTAATTGTAGAACATTAGCAACATATTTTTTGAAAGTTAGATGTATAATACATCTGAATACTTTTTGCAATTTAAAAAAAATTGACTTTCTTATGCTAAAAAGATTGTGGATTTATTTTCAAGTTTAATTTAAATTTTATAAGCAAATGCAAGCATTTATTTGTGAAATGTTTTATTTTTATGAATATTCTATGTATATATATTATGAATTTTAGAAACAGAATAAATGGTTGATACTTCTGTTTACAGGTTAATGAAATATCCATTAATATTTATGAGTTAAAAATACTTTAATGTAAGAACACTTTTTTTCATGTTATTTCAGGCTTACAGCGAAGTAAATGTTTGAAATGTTTATATAACATACACATCTGATAATTGAGTTTTGATAATTTAATATGTGTTGATATTAAAATCATATGACATTTAGTATGTACATGTTAATGCCACAAATCTATAGAAGAAGATTTGGATTTAAATATTGGAAGATGTTTATTGTATCGATGTGTATATAAATGATTTAAATTTTGTTAACTCATTATATAATATCTACGAATAACATTTTGTAAACTTTTGAAATATATATCATAAAGTATGGCAGGAAGTGGATCTGTCATAATACCATCTATAAAACAATTACAGGAAAAAGATCCTGCATCTACTTCCAATATAGATTATTCTACTATTAGGGGAAAGGTATGTTTCTTAAAATTGTTATTTTGCATTGGAATAATATTAATTATTGATTATAATCAATTTCAGAGTGTCTTGGTTAGTCCATCTGAAGATCAGTATGAATTATTACTTAGACGTTTAAAAGAAAGAATTCAAGGTGGAGGAAGCGAAACAATTTTTGATATTGGTATTGGTGAAGGTCCATATTCAATCTTTAAAGCCATATTTGTTATAAATACTTACATGGGTTTTTACTTACAATTTATATATATTATTTCAGATGGTTCAGAAGATGGTTTAAAAGATGATGAATATGAAGCATCTGTTGCTACTTTGCAGTCTCTTGCTGCAACATTAGAAGCTGACTGTGTGCTTCTCCGTCAAAGTAAAGTAGATCAGGGTCTTATAGGACAATACCTAGTGCGAAGGCGTTTAGACAGACAAGATTTCTTAGAAATTAGGTCTGTTTTAGATAATATAAGAACATTAAATAGATAGTGTTTAAAGAAAATTAATTGCAACTTTAATTATAGAGTGGCTGTTGTTGGTAATGTTGATGCTGGAAAGTCAACACTTTTAGGTGTATTAACACATGGAGAACTTGATAATGGTCGAGGTTTAGCACGGCAAAAATTATTTCGTCATAAACACGAAGCTGAAACGGGACGTACCAGTTCAGTTGGAAACGATATTCTTGGATTTGATAGTGTTGGTATGGTGATAGTATTAATAAATGTTGTATTACTTTAGTATTAGTAATATCACATTCACACACACACACACACATATATATATATATATATATATATATATATATATATATATATATATATATATATATATATATATATATATATATATATATATATATATATATATATATATATATATATATATATATATATATATATATATATATATATATATATATATATATATATATATATATATATATATATATATATATATATATATATATATATATATATATATATATATATATATATATATATATATATATATATATATATATATATATATATATATATATATATATATATATATATATATATATATATATATATATATATATATATATATATATATATATATATATATATATATATATATATATATATATATATATATATATATATATATATATATATATATATATATATATATATATATATATATATATATATATATATATATATATATATATATATATATATATATATATATATATATATATATATATATATATATATATATATATATATATATATATATATATATATATATATATATATATATATATATATATATATATATATATATATATATATATATATATATATATATATATATATATATATATATATATATATATATATATATATATATATATATATATATATATATATATATATATATATATATATATATATATATATATATATATATATATATATATATATATATATATATATATATATATATATATATATATATATATATATATATATATATATATATATATATATATATATATATATATATATATATATATATATATATATATATATATATATATATATATATATATATATATATATATATATATATATATATATATATATATATATATATATATATATATATATATATATATATATATATATATATATATATATATATATATATATATATATATATATATATATATATATATATATATATATATATATATATATATATATATATATATATATATATATATATATATATATATATATATATATATATATATATATATATATATATATATATATATATATATATATATATATATATATATATATATATATATATATATATATATATATATATATATATATATATATATATATATATATATATATATATATATATATATATATATATATATATATATATATATATATATATATATATATATATATATATATATATATATATATATATATATATATATATATATATATATATATATATATATATATATATATATATATATATATATATATATATATATATATATATATATATATATATATATACATGTATATATTATATTCTATATCTTCTAAAGGTAACGTAGTAAATAAGCCTGAACATGGATCTTTGGATTGGGTTAAAATATGTGAAAAGTCATCAAAAGTTATTACATTTATTGATCTCGCTGGACATGAAAGATACTTAAAAACAACTGTTTTTGGAATGACAGGACATGCTCCCGATTTTGGTAAAAATGTTCTATAATTCTATTAACAAGAATTTCGAAAAATATATCTTTTAATACAATGTTTTTCTATTATGTATTTAGGTATGTTAATGGTTGGAGCAAATGCTGGCATTGTTGGGATGACAAAAGAACATCTTGGATTAGCTTTAGCTTTATCAGTTCCAGTATTTGTTGTAGTTACAAAAATTGACATGTGTCCACCAAATATATTACAAGAAAATTTGAAGCTATTAATAAGAATCTTAAAATCTCCGGGTTGTAGAAAAGTACCAGTTACAGTGAAAACACCGGACGATGTTGTTGTTAGTGCTACTAATTTTGTATCAGAACGGTGAGCTGTAACTTACTTTACATTATACTGTTTGAAATGTACATGCATTTTAATTTTCACTGTGCTTATACAGGCTATGCCCTATTTTTCAAGTATCAAATGTAACAGGTGAAAATTTAAATCTTCTTAAAATGTTTTTAAATTTATTGACTGCAAGGATGACTAGTCATGATGATGAACCAGCAGAGTTTCAAATAGACGATACCTATTCAGTACCCGTAAATATCATGTTATATATAAACTTCGTTTTAAATAAGAAGTTATTACATCTTGTTACCATATCTTTGTAGGGTGTGGGTACCGTAGTTTCTGGAACAACTTTGAAAGGTGTTATAAAATTAAATGACACTTTATTACTGGGACCTGATCCTTTGGGCCGTTTCATTCCAATTGCAGTAAAGAGTATACATAGAAAACGAATGCCTGTTCGTGAAGTAAGAGGTGGTCAAACTGCTAGTTTTGCATTAAAAAAAATTAAAAGATCACAAATTAGAAAAGGTATGGTGATGGTCGCACCTGCGTTAAATCCACAGGCTTGTTGGGAATTTGAAGGAGAAATTCTTGTATTACATCACCCTACAACGATAAGTTCTTGTTACCAAGCAATGGGTAATTTCTTTTTTTATTTATATATTTGACTCATATTTCGTTCTGTTGAAATACTCAAGAAAAAAAAATTATTTTCAGTACATTGTGGAAGTATAAGACAAACAGCATCCATAATTTCAATGTCACAAGATTGCTTAAGAACTGGTGATAAGGCTTTAGTACGCTTCAGATTTATAAAACATCCTGAATATATAAAACCTGGACAACGAATGGTATTTAGAGAAGGACGTACTAAAGCAGTAGGCAATGTTGTAAAACTTATTCCTTATTCCAGTACCACGATTACACAAACATATAGGGCAAATAAACCGAATAAAACATCTCAGAATCGACAAAGCTCTTCATCTACGATTCAAGTACGTAATGACGATAATAACGTTTGATATAAAATTTATTTTAACTTTACCTAATAATTGAATGCAAATTTTTATATTAGTCGCTAGATTCGACAGAAACAAATTCATCGTTTGAAGGACAGACATCAAAACAAGAAAATTTACTTCAGAAACCTTCTAAAAGTCAGAATAAAAAGAGTAGAGGGCGAAGGGGAGGACGATCTCATAATACTGCAAATAGTATTATTCAACCTCTGTCGGAACAGAACCCTCCAACAAAACTTTAAGTAATATTTATGTACAAAACTTTTATGTGTATATACATATACATACTTAAACAGATATCAGCTGTTTTAGAAATTTCGGAAGTTAATGATAATAATTTTGTATTTTTAGATAATCTAATATTTCTTTAAATATTTCAGATTAGTATAAAAAAATTTATATATATCTGTGAAAAACATTATCTTTAATTAATTTCCGAGATTTCTAAAGCATGGTCTACATAAATATATGTATTATTTTTAGTAATTATTTATATTAAAACGTGTATAAAATTATTCCATTTAAAATTGGAAGTTCGTCTCATTATGGGGTTATGTACGTATGATTAAGAAATGTGATTTTTATCCTACCATGTAAAAAACCCCTCTGTACTATCTATAACGCACATTGTGCTTCGAACCCTATTAGAGTACAAATTGTCTTTCACACTTTGACTAAATTGCTAAAAATTTAAAAATGTTTTTGAAACGTATAAAGAAACATACGTTATTATTCATAAAGTGTTTTATTTTTATAAGCAGGAGTGTATCTTAATAAAATAATATCGACTAAATACAATCAATATAAAAAATACATATATTTGTTTCTTTTATAACATTTACAAACTATCTGTATTATAATTATTACTGTTTTATCCTTGCTAACAAAATTTCGTAGAAAAATGTATATTCAGATCTTCCATATTTATTAAAATAAAATTCAATGAAAAAGATATATATATTATCAACTTGTATTATAAAATGAATCCTGTGTTTCCAATAATATGGTTAATTTATAAAATAAAGATATTAAATAAAAATGACAATCTGGGAGAATAATCACATTTGAAGAACAGATCTCAATACACAAAAATAAGAAATTAATAGTGTGATAAAAAAAAAATTATAATAATTAATAGACAGTAAAAATTTTTAATCATAAAGTATGTTACAATGTAAAAAAGAGTAATGAGAACCTTAAAATAAAAATCACTTCATATTGTTTATTATTTCTAATGCAATTATTACAAATATAATTTACTGCAACTAATTTGAATTTGTTAACAATTATAATGATAATACATTTCTAAACTTATTTTTTTGGTATATTCTTTTTAATTTCATCCTCAAAATCTTGCAATTTCTTTTTAAACAAATTTTTTGAATCTTGTAAACGCTTAATGTAGTCTTGTTTCGAAAGTAAACCATTTTCCCTAGCTTGAAGTAATAAGTATGCTACACGCCGTGCAAACCATCTAATAGGTTTAGAATCTGCTAATTTGTTGACCACTTTGTCATTACGCATTAAATATGTTAATAATAAACGAAGAAGGCTCATATTTATATAGCTTTCTTTCAATAAAATGTAATGTTATAAATGTTTATACTTTTGGAACTTCAAAAGTGCACATATTACGATATTTTAATAGGAGTTCACGTTTAAGCCTAAGCTGTTTACGAAGAGTTTCAAGCTTTTGCAATTGTTCTTCTTTACTATATTCTATTCCTGGTAATCTCTTAATCTACAAACAATAGTGATTATATATTAATACAAATTTAGCTACTATTTATTTTACAAATTTAGTGCATTACAAACTTTTACCTGAGCTCTTGCAGAATCTAATTTTTTCTGAAGTTCTAATATTTTATGACTTGTATCTTGAGACTCTTTAGCCTTCTGAGTAGTGTCATGAGGATCTTTTTCAACACTAAAAATAAATGGAGTGTACGTATAATAATGGCATTGCACAATAAAGTTAAACACAATTTAAAATAGATTTTATTTTAATACTATCATATATGTATTTTTATTTTGTATATTTCGTACAATATTAACTAATGTTTTTATATAGAAAAAAGAACAATAAATCTAGTTTCTAATAGTTATGTAAGTTATAATTCACGTAAACATTTTACAAAAAAATTACCAAAAATTTAAATAATGTATATATGCAATGTATACACTGAAAATACTACAATAAAATCAAAACATATGGAAAACTAAACAAAGGTTAGATATTATATTTCCATATTGCGACTATATGTGTTTACATTTTAATAATATAAACACTCTAATTATCAATCTAGTAAGACGAACCTTCGAATTATTTCATATATAAGTGGTAATATTTCAATATCCAAATCATCAACTGTAAATTGTGAACGTAAAGGAACCTCTTCTGATAATTCTGATTCCATTATAATGCCATTGTCTACAACATTTTAAAAGATAGTATTGACCATATTTTCCTGATGCAACTATTCAGGCCATATTCATTAAACGATGAATTTTCATTCATCTACTCATTTCAGCTCTGATTGGTTGGAACACATCTAGTAAATTAAGAACAACTTGAATATTTGTGTATGTTTTGTAAATTTTGTGATGTTGAATTACGTGATCATGTATTTGGGTTTTACATTATTATCGCATGAAATAATACACGCGTACTGTTATCATGAAGATATCGATATCATTATCGAACATTAATTTAAAAACTAGACTATCCTAGTAATTTTTAACCATTGATAACTTCACTCTATGTCACTACTTGTAAGCACTCGTAACTAGCTTCAGTTGGCTGATTTCTTTCCATGTTTGACGTCGTTGAAGTAACGAGGTAATGTTTTCAATCATCACGTATCCAAAAATGTTTCATGCATCTTTTCATTTTAAATCATTATTAAGTGTTAAATAAATTTCTGCGAATATTAATTTAATATTTATTTAATATTTTATTTGTTATTGATAGCTAAAATGGGACGCCGACCAGCTAGATGGTATGTAATAAAATATTTATTTCTTATACTTTATCAAAATGTGAACAAATTTAAGTAAATAGAGTAACAAATTGTTTTTTATTTAATATATTTTTACATTAATTTTAACACTTTGGAATATCTATTAACAATATTAAGAGATCTCTTGCATACTTCTTATGTTTATCATATCACCTTATGCTTGTTATCATTTTTAACAAATAAAAATAATTTATTTTTTTCTTATAGCTACCGATATTGTAAGAACAAACCTTACCCCAAATCAAGATTTTGTAGAGGTGTGCCTGATCCAAAAATTCGTATTTTTGATCTTGGAAAGAAAAAAGCCTCTGTAGAAGATTTTCCACTATGTGTGCATTTAGTATCAGATGAATATGAGCAGCTTAGTTCTGAAGCCCTGGAAGCAGGAAGAATCTGTGCTAACAAGTATATGGTGAAGAATGCTGGAAAAGATCAATTTCACATTCGTATGAGATTACATCCGTTCCATGTTATTCGTATCAACAAAATGTTATCGTGTGCTGGTGCTGACAGGTAAAAGATTTTAGTTTTACTAAAATAATATTATTATTGCATCTACATTTTTTAAACTTTAATTACTTTAATTATATAAACATATAAAAGTATGAAAGTATAAAGAGCAATTGAATCTTACAATTCTAATTTTTTGGAACTAAAACGTACTTTGCACTTAATCCCTATCATATTGCTTAAAACTTTATTTGTTGTACATATTTTGTAAATGTAGTTTAACAGATCCTTTTGTTTTTAAAGATTGCAAACAGGAATGAGAGGAGCTTTTGGTAAACCACAAGGCACTGTAGCTAGAGTACACATTGGACAACCTATTATGAGCGTTCGGTCATCGGACCGTCATAAGGCTGCTGTAGTTGAAGCATTGCGTCGTGCTAAGTTTAAGTTCCCGGGTCGCCAGAAAATTTATGTTTCAAAGAAATGGGGATTCACGAAATACGACCGTGCCGAATACGAAGAACTGAAAGCGGCTGGCCGCCTTGCTCCAGATGGTTGCAATGTTAAATATTTACCTGAGCATGGACCCCTTGATGAATGGAAGAAATTCAGAAAACTTCTTGCTGCTGCTTAAGCAAAGAATAATGTTTTGAAAATTAATTTCATTAAATCAATTAAAAAAATAAATACATATGTTATTTAATTTATTTCGTATCTTTCCCCTTTTTATACAATTTGTTTATTTTGTTTTCTATTTAATAGCAAGAAAGAAAACAAAGTAGTTAATCAAGTTGTTAAAAAAAAATATCTGAGATACTGGATATATTATATATAAAAAAATAAAATGCTTATTATCTTAAGATATAATTAAATAAATCTTAATTTTAAAATGATCTGAATTTTAGAATAAAATATGATTTTTAACTTACACTATTTACAATTTAAAAACATTAATTTTGAAGAAAACAAGAACTTTACATTACAAAAAATAAATGAATTAAATATACATTTTATAACGAACATTGTAAATTATTTTTACACGTTTAATGAGGATGACATGTAATATTAATATCGTTTTCATTTTCGGTGTTTTGGATTTCATCCTCAATGTCTATATCACACATTCCGTGACTGTGATTATCAAGTGCTTCTGTACTGGTTGCTACATCCAGTAAAGGAGACAATTTCTCTGCCTCACTATCTTCATCTTGTCCTTGACCCTGTAAAATATAATTTATTTAAACGATCTGACATAAATTTGTACATGTACTTTGTTTAAGAAACTATGAAATCCTGAAGCAAGTTGATTATTTGATATCAACAAATTACCTCGTACATAGAAACAGGTTGTTTTTCATTAACAAGTCTCAGAGTATCCCGAGATCTTAACGCAGTTTTTTCTCGTAAGTGTCCTGAAGTTTTCATTCTCATTGCTGGAGATCGACTGTGAAGATCTTTTTCCGATCCTGAGTGCTCATATTTAGCTAAAAATACTGACATCCGAAATTCTGGTGTGGGACATGCAGTACCACTTGTTCTTGCAGATATATCTGTTTCTTTTGTAGATACATGTTTTGATACGGGAGTACGTTCTACAGATCTTTTGAATTACATATAAATTACTGTTCAAATAAATTATGTTGGTATAAATGAAATCACTAAAAATTTTATTAATATAATATCTTGCCTATTTAACGCTTCAGCTGCTTGAATTGCACTGGCTGTATCTGTATCAGGTGTGTCTGGGGATTCTGGTGCAAGAGCAGCCGTTCTTGGAATGTATGGTCCATTTAAAGCTTCTATTAATGACACAGCTTCATATCCTGCTGGAATGTTTTCACAGCTTCCCTGTATATTAAACAATTTGCTAATTTATTGCACATGCATTCATAGATGCATATATATGGAGATACATAGCATAAATAGATATTAACCTCTGGTACTGGTGGATTTGATATAATAGACCCAGTCGCTTTTTGAAGCGCTTTAATTTGAAGAAGAGCTCTAAAAGGAGCACGACATATTGGACAATTGTTAGCTTGATATCGAAGAGAATTTGCACAATTATTGCATAGACATAAATGTCTACATGGTAATATTAAAGTATCTCGTACATCACACATACAAATAACACATTCTGATCCATTATCATCTGTATCTTCATCACTACCTTGTTGCTAAAAAACAAATTACCATTAAACATACATAAAAGTTTATAAATTTAATTATATAGTAATATTTCATACTTTTGCATTTTCTGCATTTTTATTTTCAATTCCATATATTTCTTGAAGTAAATAACAAAGACCATCAACATAGAGTTTTTGCTTAAGAGCCTTTAATACATATGTTCCATCTGAATGTTTTTCAACAACTGCAATTGTTGTATGAGACTGCTTTGGTTCATCTGAGCCTTCCTCTGCTACACAATGGATTGCTATTGGTATTATCTAAAAGTAATTATAGTGAATCATAAAATCTAATTTAAAAGGTGTAACAATTTAATATAGGAATATTAAAAACATACATACTTCTCTGTCAGCATTATATGTTAAATCTTCTTCATTATATACTGTGGGGTCAAATATGTGTGATGTCTGAGAAAATAATTGATTTGCCCCTTTTTTGTAATAATATGTTTCAGAGTTCATAGAAGAATCTCTTGGTATATACCTATGAATAAATTTACTTTTATCATCTAATGTTGCATGTAATATATTGGATTCTCACAACATATTTTACATACGTAACACCTTTAGTTGTAACTTCCTCAGTACAAAAATAATATATTGTAATTGCACATCTTACATCACAATCAAATGTAAATTCAATATTATAACGATTTGGCTTTTTATCAATATCACCATCTCCATAATGCTTCACATTATGACACTGAGGTGAAGTGGCAGTTTGATCAACATTACGAACTAATCTCAATGATTCTCTTCTTATGTTTACTAAACTTTTTAATGTTTTGGTAGGATCATTTGCTTGTGGTGGAGGATATGGAAACTAAATCAAAATGATATATTTTAATATATAACACACATTTATATGTGTATATTATAACATTATATCTTACAGGTGTTGGTCTGCTTCCTAAGAAATTTAAATCAGCATTTTCTCCAAATAAATATGCCTCAGGTTGAGGTGTATCAAATCGTTCACCACCCATTATAAAATGACTGCCAAAATAACTTCCTAATAAATAAATTCTATTAATTAAGATGTCAAAACAAATATTTTAACAACATATACTTTAGTCAATAATAAATTTTAAATGTATATCAATTATGTATTCAAATATTTTACAAATCCTTAAAAAGATAGTATTTCAAATTATAAAATTATTTATAAATTAATAAAAACAAACCAGAACGTGGAGGATATTTATATGCATGATTTGAAACAATATCAACTTCTTCCACACCAGCATTCTGTCGACTTGTTAGCGATCCCATCGTTTAATTGTATTAAAAACAATTAATCCTAAATTATGGTTTCAAAATAAACCTCAATAGTGTATAAAATTAATTATACAAGATTTTCTTTCATAAGTTAACAAATCACAAATAATCAACGTAAACTGCAACCATTAGTAAACAAAATTCTTCTGATAATTATAATCTTGACACACAATGTGTCTACTTGACACTTACAATTCTTTGTATGTATGTAAAACCTATTACGCATATGTATATATTATATGCATAGTACTTCACAGTTTGTGCAACCTTATAAATGTATATATTATGTATTTTATAAATTTGAATTAATACATTTATTAGAAACAATATTAAGCATATTTTAATTACTAATAAACAGATCTTTTTACTTATATATTAAAAATAAATCGTTCGGTGTTATAATATATTATTTCAATATGTAATAAATTTGTATGGGTGTTTCTCAGACTGCTAAAAGGAAACGCGCTATTTCAAAACTAGTGTATATCGTACAACTCTATTTACAGTTGACGTTTAGTAATGTAATACGTAAGAGTTTATGTTGTTACTTATTAGGTTTCTTTGATGATTGTATATAATTCATAGTCATGATCAAATAAAACTATTAAAATCTATAATAAGTAATAAGAAAATAGTGGAGTGTAAAATGAATACTGCATTAAAAATTGACAGTTAGTTTCAGGGGATGTTAACAAAATGTGGTTAAAGTAATCAGTGATATGAGTTGCATATATATTTTGACTATACAATAATATTTATACAATCTAGGAATGTGTATAGCATAAACGACTTTTTAAAAATCATGAAATTCAATGAAAAAGAACTTGCAGAAGCAAGTAGCGGTCCTGCTGATCTTGAAGGTCGTTTAAATCATAAACGAGCTCATAAGTCAGGTTAGTTCCTAAATTTATTTAATTGAATGTTTCCTAATATTTATATAATTCTATTTTTCAGGATTTAAAGAAAAGTGGTTTAAGTTAAGATGCAATTTATTGTTTTATTTTAATATTAACGAATTAGGACATATTAATACAAGACAACCAGCAGGTGTAATTATTTTAGAAAATTATAGCATCAATACTGATGTTGCATCTGAAGGAGTATTTGCATTTAGTATAGCATTTCGAGATGAACATGAAAAGAGACATGTTTTAAGTGGCCGTTCAGAATCTCAAGTAGAACAGTGGGTTAATGCGCTTAAGCAAGCAAGTTATGAACATTGGAGATCTCGTTTAATAATGCTTCAGGAAAAATTATGTAAGAAAACAGGGAAAGATCCTTTACTTATGTATCCCAGAAATCAGGGGATAATTAGAGATGAAGCATGGGATTCTACGCCAACTTTCCGATCTCATGTACGTTCTTTTACTACATCAGTTGTAACATCAACTGCATTAAATACAGTAACAAAAGAAATGAATTTGATTGAATTTTAAATTAAGTAATATAATTTTATTATCTTTATACTATATTTTTAAATTTAAATACTATTTAAATATATAAGAGTTGCATACAAATAAAATGAAAAAATGTAGGTTTCCAGAATAAAACACAAGTTATTGCGAAAAAAGATGGTAAGTGTGATTTGTTTGTTGCAGCTAATATATAACTTATACTAGTTTTATTATATGTACAATTGAAAAGTAACTCTGTAACACTTAATTGTATATTTTTTGTTAGTATTATTAAGATTGGGTTTAAAATATTAAATATTACTTGTATTATTTATAAAGAAAATTATATTTTATATATATATGTATATTTATGTGAAATTGTTTTCATGAAATTTTTAATTTAATTAGGATATAATAATATTACTATATAATTTTTAAATAATTTGTATCTCAAGAAAGAATATGAGCAAATATTAGACTTTTGTTCATATTCTCTACCTCATATACAAATTTAATAGCATTTATATACCAAATACTTTATTGTCAATAGTGCTCATTTGTATTGCAAATCTTTAATAACTGCAAATATATTTGTAAGATTGGAATAAACAAAACATATTTTTTACAAGTAATATGTGTAAAATAACTGCTATCATATATTTTTTATAATTTTCCATTTTTACATCATAACTTGTTTAGAGAATATTTTACTGCAACCATTCCTAATTAATCATTTTTTTCATGTTACCCATATCCCTGCAGTTATTGCTTTTATATATGTATTATTGTACAATAAATTTTGTTTTTATTAATAAATCATGGTTTTCCATATTTATAATATTGGTGTTATTGTATGGAATATATGTATAAATGCAATTGTTATTAGTTAATGTGTGTTACAATAATTTTAAAATTAGACGTAACGCTTAACTTTTTATTTTAAAATAATCAAACGAATATGAACAGGGGAAATGAACGAATTGGTACTATTGTTTCCTACAATTTCCAACTGTACATACCACGTGTAACCCAATATGTACACGCGTCAAAACAGAGGCCGCCACAGTTACATTATAGCAGTGATCAGTTAACCTAATATGATTTAAGTTTTGAGTAGTTGTAACGAGTTTAGAGAGACTGAATTACTAATATAAAATTAACTCAAATAATCTATAAAATATATTATCAATTAAAGTTAATATAAAATAAAACGATGAATCGATTTGTAGTATTTTGTATTCTGATAACCAGTGGAATTTCTGGAGTTTTTAGTGAAACTTGTCAAAAACCTGAGGTTGTTGCATCTGCATATGTTACAGAAGATGCTACGATTTTGACAAATGTTGCATTTACAACACAATTTATGCTGAAGTGTAGTAATGGTGTGAAAGGTATTACATTGTATGCTGAAGTTGATGGCAAATCATTGCCTGCTGCCAGATTAAGTTCTGATAACAAGTACCAGGTATTCAATACAATTGCTTATAATAAATTTTATATAAGAATTTGGTTTACATTAAACAAAATTCTTTGTACCAAAAGAATTTAGTGTTAACTGTAATCAATAATTTATAGGTATCGTGGACAGAAGACATCAAGAAAGCACGTTCTGGAGATTACAATATAAAATTATATGATGAGGAAAGATATGCAGCTATACGCAAGGCATACAGAAATGGAGAGGATCCAAGCAGTGTGAAGCCTTTAGCTGTAGTAGTACTTAATAACCCAGGCATCTATCTAGGACCCTGGGTTAATTCTGAACTTCTTGCTGCCCTTTTAGCAGCTTTAGTATCTTATTCTGCTTTTTCTTCTAAATTCAAACTCCTTGCGTGAATAGTTGTTTCATAAATAATAAATATTTTATAACAATAAACAATAATATTAATAATGTTATTATGTTTCACTGTCATTCAAGACTTATCTAAAATATAGTTTTTTTAATTTAATAATTTAATGGTGTTTAATATTGAATATCAACTAAGAGTTTGTAAATAAAATATATTTGAATCCTAATACAGTTCTGAAGAAGGTGGATTACCAAAAAAGTATTCCCATGATGGTGGATATTTCATATCATTATTTTCATTATCATTTAATAAATTTAGCCATTGATTTAAACCTTTAAATAACAATAATGCATCAGAAACATTATTTCCTTCTGAACAATAACAAAAAACCACTGTGCAAGCAATTTCCACTGATTTTAAATGTTCATAAAGGTTACTTGCAAAACCTCCACCAGAAATATAACTACGTAGTGTAGATTCTATTGAAACTTGTTTTGTATGCTTCTTCCAAGCAAGATTTTCAAGAAGCTTTTCATTGTTTAATAAAGAATCATCTGAAGTTAGGTACCTCAGGGTAGGATCTATTCCATTAGAACATTCATAGCCATAACTGCTGGTTAAAATTATTACCTGTAACATACATAATCCTTTATTAATTTCAATAAATTTTTTATGAGTAAAAAGTAACTAATATCTTTAGTTTATCATATTATACCTTGGTGATTTTCCTCTTCTGAACAAATTGTGCTAATTCTTCAAAAAAGTCAGTTGAATTATCAATGTGAGGTGAACGCAATTGTAAACAAATTATTTTAGGAGATGTTGTAAGGTAAAAATCAGCAGCAGTGCAAAGAGAACTAGAATTATTATTATAAGGATCAAGACCAGATATGGGAAGAAACATAGAATTCCATAAACTTCCAATCTTGTTCAACTTTAAATTGTATATTAGTAAATCAACACATAATTGTCCAACATTTCCAGTGGCTACTGATGGAAGTATTAGAATATAATTTTCAAGGTTAATTTCCTCTGGTATATTTATCATCTTTTGTTTTGATAAATACTAAGTGCCTGTTATATTAACAATATCAATTAAATGAATCCTTTGATCTATAAAAAATATATAATATATATATGTTTACATATGTACATACAAGAAATTTAAATAAATCAACTCTTCCTTCCAATATTTGTTGTCTTTTCAATAAACTTAAAATTTGCAAATCATCATACCAAAGTGATTATTAAATATTCCAGATTTTCACTTAACTAATTCAAGTTTTATATATCTATACAAAATTTGTATTGAATAAAAATACAAAATATATATTTTATGAATTCAAACTTACAAATGTTATAAATGTTAGTACAATTATTGTCAAATTTTTGAAATTTTTCTAGTATATTAAGAAGTAAAGTTGGTATTTCTGTTTCTGTAATTTTATATAATTTAAATAATATATTTATATGTTAATAATATACGCATGTAAGTTTAATGACATGCATAATATATAACTATTTATTACATTTCAAACAGTATGTATTATTTGTTCAATGAATGATCGTACACAATTTGCGCAACGGCGCTAGTTTAGTAGTCTTTCCACCAATTAAACTATCTCACTATTCTATGTTTTTACCTTATCAAACATGTACAGGGTAGACAAAAATATATACATAGAGGAAAGAAGGAATGATATAGGGAATATACAAAATAAAAGATCACTGGGTGCATATAATTTGGTACTTGAATGTAGCAAATACGCATGCATGTTATTCATGGTTATAAAGCATGTTCGAACCAATCAGACTTGACATGCGCAAAATGAATCCAAACACTTCGGATGATGAGTATGATCTCCCGTTGAATGAATAATACTAAAACTTGTATGAAATTTATAATAAAAGTTTGAGTACAATTTATATGGATAATTATATTAATTCTGTTTAGAACTAAACTTTACAAACTAACAAAAAAATGATCTGAAATGAATAGTTAGAAAACGGAGAAATAAAATTGTCATTTAATATGCAACTTCTATTGCTTATAAATTCGGTAATATCACTTTACAGTCTTTTTTTGTCTATTTTATTGAATAATAAAATGAAATGTGTTCTTGTGAAGGAATAAAAATTTAGATAAGCCACCCCTTAAATATACCTTCCTCCATTCTAATTGGCGAAGAACAATCGGTATTAAAACATAATTTGTTACCGACCGTGCACAGCGGCATGTGACGTCACACATCACCGTCCCGTGATGCCTTTCGGGAAATAGCGCCGCCATCTTGAGTGGCATGGCCCAGCTAGACAGTGCGCCCTGAGCGGAGACATGCAATTTATCGTGAAAACATTGAACGCCTCAAGAACCACGGATTCGTGTGAAACATAGCAGATTTTTGGTGCTTCGCACCTTTGTTAGGATGGATGCGGTTAAGGCATTTAACGCGGAGGTAAGCTGATTTACCTTCGATTCTCTCTCTAGCCCGCCGACTCTCCCTCTTTTTTTCTCGTTTCTCTTTTCCCCGTTTTCTTCCCTTTCTTCCTTTTTAAGCCTAAAGTGACACAAACGAAATATATACTCCTAAAAAAAATATTCCTTACGATGTCTCTAATGTTCAGTGTCTAAAGGAATTGAGTGATTTTTGTGTTGGAAGAATCCTTTGATTTCTAGTTTGTGTAAGAGAGAGGGAAAGTCTCACTATATATAAGAAAGAGGGAGAGCAGTGAAGGAACCTTTATTGTGATTTAAGGTGTTTATGATGTAAACGTAATGATTATTATTATTGTCTAATTTTTTTGTAATTCCTGTTTTGGAAATGAATTATAAATGTCTACATTTATTTATTTTTATAGTATTATTAAATGGAGCGAAGGATGTGGGAGCATCAGATTCCTTAAATAAATTTATACAATACTAAGTTTGTTATATTATTGGACACTTGTGAAATTTGTTTTATTGATTAATTGGTATTTGTATACATTGCTATAATTTGCTGATGAGTATTATACATTATCATGTTTTATTGGTTATGAATCAAAACTTCAGCAAAGTTATATTTTGCTTTCAATTCCAATTAGATTGTTGACTAATGTAATTTTATATCATATGTACGATTAATGAAAAATTTTAACCATATTTATTGTTTTCAGCTATCTGCTCTGTATGATGTCAAACCACCAATTTCTAAGGCTAAAATGAATTCTTTAACCAGGGGTGCAATTAAGGCAATCAAATTCTATAAACATGTTGTGCAAAGTGTTGAAAAATTCATTCAAAAGGTAATTTATTATTTAATATTGAATAATATTACTTTATGAAGGAAATATATAACAAAATTAATTTTATTATGTGTTCATTGCAGTGTAAACCAGAGTACAAAGTGCCTGGATTGTACGTTATAGATTCAATTGTACGTCAATCCAGACATCAGTTTGGAGTGGAAAAAGATGTTTTTGCTCCACGCTTTGCCAAGAACATGCAAACCACCTTCTTAAACCTTCTGAAATGTCCTCAGGAGGATAAAAGCAAAGTGATAAGGGTTTTAAATCTATGGCAAAAAAATGCAGTTTTTCCTTCTGAGGTTATACAACCTCTGTTTGATCTTGCGGACCCAAATCATCCAATACATAAGGAACAGGCAGTCAATTCTAATGGTAAAAATATATTCTAGTTTATTCATCTTATTTATGAATAGAATATTACTTTATCCATGGCAATTTAAAATATAGGTACACTTAATGTTCCTTCAACAAATAATGCCAGTAATGCAGCAACTGCTGTGAAAACTCCTCCTTTAAATGTAAAAAATGCAGTGAAAGATCAAAAACTATTTTCTTCAGCAAAGCCAATTGACCCTGCCTGGCTAGCACAAACAAAAATGGAAACTGCAAATATAGTTAATGCCAATAAAATTTTAGTAAGTCCCAAATTATGTAATTATTGAATTTTTCATTTTATGTAACTATGTGTATCTATAATTTACTATTTACATGCATGTAATTTCAAGCATTTCTTTTTTAGGGGCAATCAAATTCAACTCAAGTGGATGCTTCTCTCCTTGATCAATTACAACATTTACAACAATTATTATTGAAGAAACAGGAATCAGCAAGTGAACAAAAAAGTTCTGTAAAATTTGATAAGAAACTTTTAGATTTTGATTATGGTGAGGAAGAGGACGACGATGTTCTTGTTGCCAACTCGCCAACAGCAACAACAACATCTAATACTGTTCAACATAATACAGTTTCTGCTGGGAATAGTTTAGAAAGTCTTGGGCTTCTTTTAACAAATCCGGAGGTATAAATGTTTTTATAATTTATTCTAATATAAAAGTCATCTTCCTTATTAATGTTGTAAAATATTTTTTCAATATTAAAAAAATTAATTATTTAATTAACGACAGGTTTTAAGGCAACTTCAAACATTGCAACAAACAATGCAAGGAGGTGCTTCTTCGTCACAACATGAGATGGATGAAAAAATGCGAAAATTGCAACAAATGAAGCAGCAAGAAGAGGAGTTTGATAAACACCTAGCTCAAACTGTTCCTGTAAGTTGTTAGCATGAAAGCAAATTGCACAAAACTGCAGTAACATATCGTGTTTATTATTAAACGTAATTCTTGATATTTTTTAGAATTTACCATTTGCATCAGAATGCGAATTAAAACCTTCAGACATTTTAAAACCAAATCAACAAAATGCATATATAACAAATGTAAGTAGCGGAGTTATTCAAGACATGAGTCAACCGCCTCCTGGTTATCCACCGGCTCTACCGTATGTCTCTCAACCTTTATCAAATATTAGGCAGATCAATCAGCAAATGCATCAAAATCAAAAAAGTCCACTTCTGGATGAACGAGCAGATGCACAAGATTATTCTGGGTTAATATAATTTTATTCCTTTTTAATATGATTCCATATGATTCCATTGAGTATTAATTTGGAATAAATTACTTTGTATAGAAATGGTACAAGACGGGACAGTAGTAGCGTAGAAATTGTAAATTGCGAAAATACGAGATCACAAAGTAGATCGCCTGATCGGTACAGGCATCATAGTCGGTCTAGGTCACCTCGACATAGAGACAGGGACAGAGATAGGGATCGAGATCGAGATCGGGACAGGGACAGAAAATCTCGATCAAGGAGTAGATCCAGAAGAAGAAGGTAATTTTATGCATGTTATTTATATGTTCAAATTAAAATACATAAAAGCCATAATTTGAACAGAACAATTTTATAATTATTTTATTGTATCTATAGATCTCGTTCACGGGATAGAGGACGTGACAGAAAACGCGAAGATAGCCGAGAAAAAATGACTGAAGAGGAACGGGAAAAAGAAAGGGAAAGACGTAAAAGGGGATTACCTCCAATCATGAGAGATAAATTAAGCGGTATTTATTTTTACACCTATTTACAAATGTATTTGTTAGTTTAACAAATTGACAACTATGAGCTTTGTTTTTATAGTTTGTAGTACTACACTTTGGGTAGGGCATTTGTCTAAATTGGTGCATCAAGAAGAACTTTCGGATACTTTTGGAGAATTTGGCGATATTGTCAGTATAGATCTGATTTCACCTAGAGGTTGTGCATTCATATGCATGAATAGGAGACAAGATGCATACAGAGCTCTTACCAAGCTTAAAAATCATAAAATGCAAGGAAAAGCAATTACTGTGAGTTATTTCAATTGTAAATAATGTGTAATTAATTTTAAATTCATAAATGTACATACGCTAATAATTTTTTACTAAGAAAGAAGTATAAAAAAAGGATTTAAAAAAAGATAAAATTTTTAATATATTTTAGTTAGCCTGGGCACCAGGCAAAGGAGTGAAAGGAAAAGAATGGAAAGATTATTGGGAAGTTGAATTAGGAGTTAGTTATATTCCTTGGAATAAATTACTTAATGTCACTGATCAAGATTTAGAATTACTTGAAGAAGGAGGTATGATTGATGAGGATACACTACCACCTAATTTAAAAGGTAAGCAAAATAAAATATTTGTGATGTATGAAATTGATTCTTAATTTATAATGTATTTCATGTTAATTTGCAGGTAAATTAAAGCATTCCGGGACAAATGCAGACGTGCTTCAGCAACAGTTGCAGTTACAGCAACAAGCTTTAGTTGCAGCTGCTACAATTCCAAGTCTGGCAGATGGTATTGTGAACGTAATGCAACCTTCAACTAGTTCACAACAGCAACAATCTCAACAACAAAATCAACAGCAAGGTCAACAGCAGCAACAAGTTATTGACACAAGTCAACCGCCTCCAATTAGACCTCCTACATCGGCTGCACTTTTACCACCGCCAAATACACAATTACAGATGATGCCACCTGCTTTTACGATGCCAGGAGTTCCTCGTAAGTCATTATTTAAAACTTATAATAAAGATTAAATTCTTAATGAGGAATTATATTTAATTTAATTTAATTATATTATTTACTATTCAGGTATGCTTGGACCAATGGGATTACCAATGGCACACAGTTTAATGCCCAATGTTCCAATTGGTGTGCCGCCCCCAAATATGCAGAGTTTACTAGGTCCACCAGGAATGATGCAAACAATGTTAACACCGCCAGTTAATTCTCCATTTGGTGCTGGTGTTGGTGTTGGGTTATTAACACAAATTCCTTTACCGGCACCAGCAGCGCCTTCCGATAAACCTAATTCTACTGGTACGAAATAATAAGAATTACATTTGTTTTTGATAGATTTAAAAATGGAAAATATTTTAAAAGTTTAAAAATATTTAAGGTATGCCACACAATGTTCCTCCAATAGGAGTTCCACCACCGACGACGGAAACAGGAATGCCAAATTTACCAATGTTACGTCAACCTTATGGTGTAGGACCTTCTGCTTCTTTACAAATGCAACTACCTCAGCAACAACATTCTGCAGATGATATGGATGTAGAAATGGAGGATGCAATGCCCCAAACATCAAGTGGAACTAAAAAGAACAATTTAACCGATCAACAGTTATCACAAAATGAAGAGAGAACAGAGTCTGATCAACTAGAGGTAAATATATCATATATAATAGAGTATTACTGCCAAATAATAGTCTTCAAAAATTTTATAATATTTTACAAAATAATTTTGATACAATATTACCTTGCAGCATCGGGATTACAAAGAAAGAGAAAGAGAACGTGAAAATAGGGAAAGAAGAGATAGGGAAACACATTTATCCCATAGAGATAGAGAAAATGATTCTAGAATGGATCGTGGAAGGGAAAGAGGCAGGGGAAGAGATCGAGGACGTGATCGTAGAAGAGACCTTAGAGACAGAGATAGAGATGATAGAAGAGAAAGAGAAAATAGAGAAAATCGAGAAGGAAATTCACAGCCTCAAAATATTCAAGTAGTAAAAACATTCTTACTGATTTTAGTTGCTTCAATCGCAGCTAATTTTTATTTTATATTTGTACTTATTTTTAGGAAAACGAATCTACTCCAAAAAAAGATGGTAAACCAAGCTTAGCTGACCGTTTGCGTCAATTGGCTGATGGTACTCTTCCTCTTGAGGATCGGGTCGATCGGATGGGTCCTCGTAGTCGACAAGATCGGGACAGACCTGATAGAAATTTCGAGGATTCTCGATCGGGACGCGGTGAACCTCTTTCCTCTTTGATGGATTTGCCGAAATTTGGTTTACCTCAGGAAAGGGCTGATTTTTCTGCTCGACCTACAGATTTTCGTAATCCTCAAGATCCAAGAGAATTTCAACAACAAAGAGATAGACCGAATTTTGGTAGGGGTCACCGAGGATCACAGATTCATGAAGAATATATGGATGTCCCAAGGTTGCAAGGAGGAATATATCAAGAAGAATTTGATAATAGGTTACATGGGCAACAGAGAGAAGATTTTGGTAGACTTGGACTACCCAGAGAACAGAGGTAAACATATACATTTGTATACTAACTTAGAATTCGTAAGAGAAATGTGCGTGTAATTAAATGTGATTGATTGGGTTTACTACCCAAATATGATTAGGCTACCAGAGGGTCCGTATGACTCAGGTTCGAAATAAGGTACTTACACTTTAATTTCTGAACATTGATTGACATTGAATATAACAAAATATAATTAGTGAAAGTTCTATATACAGTGGAGTTTTCGCTGCCTAGTCTTAAACGGGCCTGTGTAAGGAACATAAAAAACTTGTACCTCTAAAATTCAAAATGTTGAATCAGTGATTATTATTTGCCAAAGGGAGGAATTCGATAGGTCTGAAATACGAGGAAGAAGACCACTCGATGATCGGGACCGTTTCGACTTCGACATCAGACGGGACGGTTTTGATCCACGGTTACAAGAAGGTTTCGATCCAAGAGGACATCTTGATCGGAGTGATTTTGAGCCTAGGAGACGAGAATTCTTTGGAATTGACCCTATGTTTGCAATGCCACCTATAATGGGACCTAGAGGTCCAAGACCCGGACATCCTGATGGATTTGGACCACGTCCAGCTCCTTTAGGGGCTCGTGGTCCAGGTAAGAATAATTTTTTACTTTCTAAGATTATAATAAATTTTATATTCACACTCCCAGTTGTCATAAATTCTGGATTTTTATATGCCTAATCAGTCTTTATATCCTTTTGAATGAAACTTAATTTATATAATTAAGCGCATGTTTGACAATTATTTAAGATGGAACGATATTAACAAATAAAATTAAAGTGAATGTTGGTTTTCCAGGTCCATTAATGTTTCATCCACGAGGCTTAGGACCTCGTCCTCTTCGACCGGGCATGAGACCTTTCGGCCCTCGTGGACCGCCTTTTGATCCTCGAGAACCAGATGCCTTTTTCAGACCTCCTTTCGATGACATTCGTCCTCATATCAGACCACCATTTGGCCCCATGGGTCCACCATCTATTGTTCCTCCAGAATCTGCCGCTCCTTGGAGAAATCAAGAACCACCTTCAACTTGGTCTTCTGATTCTGAGAATCACTCACAAAGAGATAATAGAGATAAGAAAGGTGGTAAACATTTGAATAACCAGAATGCGGAAAGAGAAAATCGAAACCGAGGTCGTAAATCTAGATGGACCAATGTCAGTCCATCTGGAGAAGAAGTAGAGGAAACGAAAGAACAAGAATCAACTACTGCGAACGTTGCAGAGAAAGAAGAACCTGCAAAAGAAGAAGTAGTTATGAAAGAAGAGGTTACAAAAGAAGAAGTTATGGAGGAAGAAGTAAAAGATGTTAAAACAGAGGAGGTGAATCCTCCTGCTGAAAGCCAGCAGCAACAAGATTCGGAAGAAACAGTTGAGGAAAAAAAAGAAAGCGATGAGATAAAGAAAGAAGAAGAGGATCGCAGGGATTCTTAGACCAAAGTAAAGAGCAATTTTTTTTCTTGAAAATTTTTTCTTACTCTGTGGAGTGGTGTGAGGGAGAATTCGTTACTTCAAGTTGAGTTGGGTCAATTCAGAAAAAAGCTCTTTTAGAAAATGAAACACTGAATTTTAGAATAATTATGTTAAATCGATAATTTTAATTGCTAAAATGGTGCTCAAATGATTTAAAGTAAAATTTCTGTAATATTGTCAAAGTTAATTTAACTTATTACAAATAGATTTTAAAATTTAAATATAGCTAAAAGATTGTAGTAAATGAGCATTAATAATTAAAGACTACTTTTCAAAAAGTCTTAATATATAAAAAACAGTTTTTATTAATCATACGATTAAGTGAAGTTTGACATCAAATAAAAGTATACCTTTTATATTGTTTAGAAGACAAATATAAATATAAGGAAACGATTTCTTGAATTCGGTGTTTCAAATTGATAAAAAACAAAACTATTGGTTTTGTAAGCGGCTTTTAATGCGTATAGCGCTGACTTTGTGAATACAAAACCCGTGACCCGTGGACACTCCGAGTGACGACTTATTTATTGAATTGTAAATACTTTTTGTATTTTCGTAGTGAACAGACATACAATATATCTGGTTTAAATATATACATTTGATTACTTTTTAAATTATTGAAGGTACAAGAAAATTATGTAACTTACAATTGAAAGTTTGTATATTTGTAAATTTGAAATTTTTAATTTTCTCTGTACTCTACTAGTGCTCGTGAAAGTTCAAGTAAGACTTCACTATAGTCTGCTATTTAAACTAAAACATTTGCTATCATAAATAAAAATTTAGCTTCCACATTTTCTTTTCTTGTATCTTCAACTTCCAGAATAAGAATTAAATGTATATATATACATAAAACCATGATAATGTATAGATAGATGAATCTTAACAGTAGAATCTTGATTAACCATGTATGTAAGAAAGTTTCAAGTATTTTCACGTGGATATTTTCATTGATTGAATTTTTATTCCGCACAGTTGTGTACATGTTACGCTTAAATACATTGAGGTTGAAGTTTTTATATGAAATAAAAAGCAATTTAATGATCATATTGGTTTATATATATTGTATATGCTTTATTGTATAGATATTCAATTCTCGATAATACATTGATATATGTTAGCTAATTTTTCTTTATTATAAAAGAAATTATTAACGATGTTGAAAATTGTTATACAAATTTATAAACAAACATCTGATCAATAGAAAATGTCAACTACTAAAATACTTAAACGTTACTTCGGATAAGCAAGATTCTATCGCCATAAATATTTAAATAGATAGAGAGAGAGATTATATACATAGATATATGTATATATATGTATGTATGTATGTATGAGAAAGAGGATGCGTATATGTGTGTGTGCATGTGCAAGTGTGAAAATGAGTATGTATGAGGAAGCGCGGAAGTAAAATAAAGAGCGAAAATATATATAGCGCCGATGTTCGGCGTGGCTCAATCAAACGAACGAAAAATAAATATTTTCTATATAATGTCTTTCGTCGTAAGCAAAATTATAGCCTTTCATTCCGCTTGGCTCCCAGAACTATCTTCGCGTTCGTTTTTTACTTTAAAATAATTAATCGAAACATCGGAATAGTTCACAGTAATCGATAGAAATAGATATAAATTCATTATTTTAAAAATTGTTACCAAAAGATTTTGTCTGGGAGTCTCCATAGAAAAGTTAAGAATACTAATTGTTAATTCTATTTACTTATCAGCGTTCGTGCGAATGATTTGTATCATACTTTTAATTTTATCTATTTTTTTGTGCCGTAATTATTCAATTAGTTTATGGAAAAATTCCAGAGAAAAGTTGCGTAGTTTAAATGTTCATATAGTCAATGAGTTCTATAAATTATTTATAAGCAAAAATCAATTAAGATACAACTTTACTGTGTTTTGTTCGGTCACTATATATTATGACATTTTTTAGTAGATATTTTACATATTTAGTTTAGAAGTTGAAATTAAGAATAGAAAAACTTTCAATAGGAGCCATTCAAACTAATACTTGTTATTATTTAATATTAAGTATAATTCTTATAATAATTTAAATTTTCTCTTTGTTTTAATTACAGAGATACATGCTTTGTTAATACTCTAGATTACTTTCAATTTGCTTAAAGCATCTTATTCAGTTTCATTTATTTAACTATGCAATTTTTATCTGAACAATTTTTCCTCCGAATATCGAGTAATAACGTTACAAATGAACCCATTAATACTAAGAGATCAAATATATATTAATTTCAAAATAGTATTTTCTACGCGATATTGGGTGTTCAATTATTAACGCCTCATCGTGGAGGTACATTATGCAGTGGAATCTTGCTATATGACCGTGAACTGCAGGGGTGAAAAAAATTTAGAAATTAAGAAATTTCTAAATAGTAGAAGAATACTACAGTACATGATGCTCATATAATAGGATTGCACTGCAATAATTATAACACATTCTCGCCAAAATATAATTTTTGCAACTCTATATTTTGGCAGAAATTATAAATAGATAAAAAAAAGAAAATTTGTGACTGCAAAAAGTATAGAAAAACTTATATAAATTTGGGTATTAATGGATTAAGTTCAAAAGTCAGAAATTCTTATTAATATAGCTTCATTCGAAGAGCAAAAAGATAATAAGGATGGAAAGAGAATAGAACTTTCAAACGATATTCGGGACGGAATGAAATCTTTTCAGAACAGCTTTGGGTATTTGTTCAGTACTCGTACTCGTGTGTTCACGTGCGTGAGTCTCTCTCTCTCTGTCGCCACACGACGATGGAACACCAGCCACCAGGTCGCTTGCGCTCAAACTGAGTGACAAGTGCAAGGTACTGTTGTGTTTATAACTCATTATATTTATATATACATATATATTTATATATATGTATGTATGTATATATACATGTACGATATCTAGGGATGTACAGGTAATTAAATGTGTCGCTATTAGTTTGAAAAAGGACTAGTTGAATACAAATGGGCATTATAAAAATTCGCTCGTGTTTTTCTGACTTGATCTGAATATAGTCAGTTGAGCTACAAAATTTCAAATTTAATGATCTAAAAGTTTCAAACTGAAAGATTTTCAAAATTTAAATTTTACCCACACATCCCTAATAATATACAAAATATTGAATGCAATTTTTCTTTCTGGACAAACTTATGAACACTTCAATTAAGACAAACTAATGTATTGTGTATGCAATGTTTGTTTTAGTACATTGTTAGATTTTTCTTTTCGATTAAGATCGGGTGAAACCTTTATTCGCTTAGATTTGCTAACGAATTTTTATTGTTTGTTAATACCTCTATTCGATATTAGTTGTGAATGTCATTCGCAGTTTACTTTCTGAGTGACATTAATATTAGTCATATAATCAATCGTGATGAATTATTGAATTAAATATAGAAATCTGTAGAATCAGTTTATAACCAATGTGCAATAACAAAGCGTAGCATTAATGACTGCACATGAGGAAAGTATAACTTGACCGTCGCACGATGGAAATCGATCGTCGACAGAAAGTACAATGAAACTTTCGGTCTTATTAATGATGATGATGATGATTAGTGTTATGGGCGTCGACTGCCATGGTCATTAGCCCGATCTTATTTAATCTATTCATGTTCGATAATAAGGTATCGTATTGTACTATATTTTAGTATATTTCTCTAATTTCTAATAGTCCAATTTTCATTAAATCTTTGGACAATTTTTTATATCAATTCGATTTAAATAAATAGATAAAATATTTGAAATATATTAAAAATTATCAATTTAAGTTCGTCCAGAATGAAATAAGTTTTTTCTACTGAGAATCATCGTACGATAAATTTCATAAAGTAGTAGGTAATTGATGACCGAGGAACGAAATTTATAGCATAAAGAACCCGTGCACCACTCCGGAACAGAGTTTAAAGAAAAACTTTTTTTATTTAAAAAAATATTGCTTCGGTGAATAATCATGAAAATAAAAAGAGTATATAACTGATTTATTTACATAAACAAGTAGTTAGTTTATGTAAATGATTATGTATTTATATGCACTAATGACGAACACTAACAGGATAAAATATTATAACAATTTACGGACTACTATAAAATCAATTGTTTTTAATTCGAATATCATTTGTAAAATCATTTTAATTAAACATCATATTATTTCTCTGTTATTGATTTCCTGTATATCATACAGTGTTTTAACAATTTCTTTTTTTCTTAATTACATAATACAGTGTATTTCATAACCTGTTATTGACGTTGCTTTGATCAATGAAAATAGTACGATACGCACATGCGCAGAAGATCATGGTCAATATCAGGTTTTAAGGTTCTTGAAAAGTCACCTCGAATTTTTCAGGTGTTTACGTATAATTGTAAGCATTGAATATTTACAAGTGGTCCAATGTAGAAAATACTTTGTAAAATTTAGTATATTTGAAAAATGAGAAATTGTACAATACAGATTGAATGGTTATTGTATTTTATAATAACTGGTTGTATTAGCAAGTGTTGCTAATGGGTTATAAAAGCATATATCTCCCATTCAATGAGAATAGGATCGTTCTGCGCAACTCTATTGAGTTCATGAAATCCCCCACTATTTCTTTGCTTTTTGCTTGATCAATCGGATACGCTGTGGACAAAATATACGAATAATGGGAAGAGACGATGTATTGTAAAAAACATACAATATCGAGTAGAATTTTGCGTAAAAAATAGTGACTTAGTGGAAGAAGGAATGAGGAATTGACGACTAGTCTTCCGGAAATTAGCGATATAAGAAAAAAACGAATAGTAGAGTATTTTTCCACTATGTCACCATTTTTCCCAGAAGCTTATAACGGTTCTAAGAATACAAAATAAAATTCACAGGGTATATAACTCGGCAATATGAATGTTAAGGCGCATGCACGTTATTCTTAATTATGAACCAATCAGAGTTAATACGTGCAGAACGAACGAAGACAGGTTACTTGATTCTATTCTCTCATAAAATCGACAGTAATTATTTGACTTTGTTAATAACGATGATTACTGATTTGAATGCTTTCCGTTATTTATAGATACAATTAAAAAAAATACATGCGTATTTGCTTGATAACTGAAGCAGATAATGTAAAGAATTATAAAACAATATATTATAAATTAATTCATACATGCATAGCTTTCGTTCTTATATTATTTAACAATTTCCATCTATTCAAATCTTTAACTGTTCTACGTCTATTTCAATTTTAACATTTTCTCTCGTTATTGTGCCTCTTGTAAAACTATTTTCATATATAATAATTGTTAATAATTATGAAATTTTATGATCTATTAAAATACATGCATACTGTATATATATTCTATATATATAAGTAAAATTGATAAATGTTACTGAACAAAAAATATTATTTAACTTTCGAAACAATTCTTCTTCTAATGATCATAAATAAAACAAGAATATTTTAATTCATAAAGTCGTAACTTAAAAGAATTTTTTACTTTAATTTCATTTTTTACTAATAAGTCATAAGCAGTACATACACATTATGACCTAAATATTTTTTAATGTCTGTTTCAGGCACGTTACGTCTTGGAGTGACAAACGGATCTATTGCGTGATTTTTCTTCAATTCTATGTATTTATTGTAAACATGAGCATTTTAATAAAATTGAGATATAAATGTACATTAACAAAATGAATGTCGTGTTATATTGAGCTTAATTATTTCTTCATATATAATTTATTGGTACTACTTTTAATTTGCATAGTATTTTAATTAGTTATGCTTCTGATTTATACATACCCCTTATAAATCCTATGGTTTACAAATTCTGCATTCTTTAAAATTATAAATCATAAATATTGTCTTTTTTAAATTATTGATATGTTTCTTAGTTTAATATATTATACTAGGGTATTCAAAGTTAGCAGCTTTTTGGAAATCCTAAATCTAAATAAAGATCATATAATTCTAATTCGATAAAACTTTAATAGTATTTATACATACACTCTTTTACATGGAATGTTTATATAATACTTTACAAATATATTAAAATTTTAATAAATTAATAGAAATTTTACATTATCAAATAGACTACTATTTATTTTATGAAAATCACATTCATTCATTATTACTTGCTATTATTTAAAAATCATTATTTATTACCTTATTTGTAATATTTAAAATAAAAATCTTTCTTATTTGTATTACTCCAATGTATTATGTACAAAATGCTAGTAAATCAAATTATGTAGAAATATTTGACAATATTTAAAGTTGTTAATACTTGTGACAATATTGGATTAAACAAAAATAATTTTTCTTACAAAATAGCATACATTTAATTTATATTTAAATTAAAATATGTATACACTTTTTAATATTTTATTCATAGTTATAGGTAAGACTTACTTATAGTTGTAATCATTTTTATACATATAAAATAAAAAATGTTTATTATTTTATTCTAAAATAATAATTGTTTCTATTTTAATATAACATAAAAAAAAACTGATACTTTTTCTTCAAACAAACTTAATTTTTTAAATAATCATTTAAGAATATATTCAAGTTATAATTATTAAATTTGACTTAATATAAGAAGTTATGTCAAGTACAATATATAATACCATGGTAACAGCACAAGATATAACATAAAATTTTAACATTAATTTCAAAATTAATCTTCTTTATCTAAAGCTTCAAGTCTTTCAAGAACTGTAGGATGATTATGATGAAAACCAGAATATAGTTTATCATAAAGAGGAAAAGTAAGATTATCTACTTCTAGCTTAATCAATGATCTTTTCAATGCTGCCCCATATCCTAAGATCATTGCAAATCTATCTGCTTCAAATTCAAATCTTCTTCCAATTACTGTAGTTAAAAAGTTTAATAACTGAAAAGATATTAGAAAGCATTAAAAATTTTAAGTATAAATAAAAATGACTTATAAATTCTATTTCCGTACCTAATTATACTTTATAATAATTTAAAAGATACATGAATTAAAATAAATATTAAACGTGGGTTATTCTATAAAAAACACTATGTAGATTGAACTTACCGTATTGAAAGGTGCTAAAATGAACATACTGAGAATACTGTAGCCTATAAATACAGGTTTAGAATCCACAAACCCAAAAGCATGATACATAGGTGAATAATCAACAAGCTTTGCAAATAGGAAAATATTTAACATGGTAGCTACCTGAAATAGATATAATTTTAAGAATTCGGGAATCAAAAATAAATGATGTAATAAGTAAATATATAAATTAAAAATTTACCTGAGCAATAAAAAACAGTTTCAATGTGTGATTGCATTTCCAATGCCCTAATTCATGTGCTAATATTGCCAATATTTCGTCTGTTTCGCATCCTTTTGCTTCTGTTTCCGGCTCTTTTGTTTCTGTTTCACTTTTTTCTAGTTGAGAATAATTTTTTATCAATGTATCGAATAATACAATTCTTTTAAATTTGTAAAATCCATAGAGATAGGCATTATTATGGGTAGTTCTTTTTGATTTATTCACAACAAATATTTTAGTAAGTGGATAATTAATAGATGCTGCTAATGCTTCAATTTTTTTTTTCAGTTCTTCATCAGGAAGTGGGGTATATTTATCAAACAGTGGTGCAATTGCTACTGGATACAGAATAATCATAAAAATATAAACAAAGATCATAAAGATCCAAAGATAAAAGTAGAAGTAATCTCCTCCATTCTTTATGATCCATATTAATGCACAAAGTATTGGTGGAGCAATTGTTTCTCGAACAGCAAATGCAAGAAGTGTGTTTTTAATATATAATGCTGGGGTCTGAAATCAATAATATAAAATTAGTGACATAATAAAATTTGCATAGTGCAATAAAAATTATACTCATATACCTCTTTATTAAAGCCATGTTTTTGTTCCACAACAAACTTAGAATAAATGTTGAGGGGTAAATGCACTATGTCATATATAATATTTATAAAGAACATACATACAACGCTCACAAGCATTTCATTCTCTTCATCAAAACCAAAATATTTTACTACTTTAATGGACCATGACCACAAATGATAGTACATTAAAGATAATAGACAAACCTAGAAATATTTAAGTAAATAAATATTAATAATAACATATAGTTTTTACTACATCATCATATAGCAAAAAATTATAGTAATGCATAAAGATATATTATGAATTAAGTACATAACAATGATAAATAAATCAAAATTTCATACCGTAGTAACAACTAGTACATAAAACTTAGCCACATTATTGAAATTTAATGTATCCAAATGATAACTACGTGATTTGTTATAAACATCTTCTGTCATTATCCTTTCAACCACATCTGGTAATTTAACTAAACGCATTACCAAAGATTTCTGAAAAATAAATATTAATATCATATCTACTTTATTATATATAATACTACGTTTGAAATAATACTTGGGGAGTAAAAGCATGAGGTTTCATTTTGTATATTTCTTAAGTAATCATGATGCTGTTGTGCAAAATTAAAAAGATCGACTATTAGTAGCGTATAATGAATGATAATTTACAAAATGAGAACAGATTACATAGTAAAACAAAAATTAAGATAAACAAGAAACAATATTTCTTTTCATAAAAATCTTACCTGACGATGACTTAAATAATATTTCCACAGAAATAGTGACCATATTATTATTAAAATTCCGTAAAGTAAATTTTCCTCAACTAATGTTATAAAGTTAGTCATTATTTTTATTTTTAATAAAGTTACAAATCTCAATACGATATTTTACCGCATTTACGAAGATCCCTACTCTTTATCTTGGCTAAGTTCAAAATGCTTTTTACCAACTAAGTGATGCTCTTCTATCCAGTGTTGGGCAATGCCGCAATCTTCAGTTCTACCATTTGTTGCTCACTTCATACTTTACTTTTAGTTACTAAGAGTATTCGAACCAATTAGAGCATATATGCACAAAATGAATCAAAACTTCTCCGATAAAAAATACCTACATACCTAGTAACTATCTGAGTAACAAAATATTACTACGGAAGAAATTAATTTGCTTATTTGCTGAACTCTGAAGTTTGACGATGCGCAGCCACACAATTGTCAAAAGCTGTGTGTGGCTGTGTGTGATGTCCACATTTTAGTACACATGAATTTTTTACATTTGCAAAAAGGTTATGAACTTTGTACAGCAAATTTTATCGGAAAAACGATAAGTAAATAGTCACTAAGTATGGCGCCTGAAAGAGTAGGTGCTGCTGGTGGAAATCAGTTAAAAAATGTACCAAATATTTTACCCAGGTATTGGTTTGTCTTATTATCGACTTATATGCATATAAAAAACATTGATTTTGATAATGAATGTCAAATGATTCAGGAAACTTTTATGTATACAATTTAAAAGTCGAAATTAATAGCATTGTAATGACATTAAAAAAAAAGTTATAGCCTCCTTGAATTAAAAAACAGTTAATTAATAATTTTAATATGTCTTATAATATTATATTTATTTGAATTTTATCAAAATTGTCTTTGTCTTTATAAATATAATTATAAAGAACTAAAGTAATTTTTTATTTATTGATATATACAATTGCATAAAGTAAAAATTTTCTTTCAGTTTACCAGGTGCATCAGCACCATTTCCCTCTTCAAATTTTCAGTCAGTAAATCCTCCACCTTTGCCACCACGTCAACCAGTTCAAAATTATTCTGGTTTTAATGACTATCAAAGACCATTTAGATCAAATTATTATGGTGGCTATGGACATGGTTACGACAGTCAATACAGAGGATTTGGAGGATACAATTCATATTCTAATTATAACAATCTAGGAGGTTTTGGTGGACACAGTGGTGATGTTGAAAACAGGTGAGCATTATAATATTTTCCAAAATAATTATTTTAATGTGAGAAAGCTTTGATCAATCATCTCTCTGTATGTACTATTTACTCATTTAATCTGAAATAAGACTAATTAGTTTAATTAACCCATTAAAAAACAATAAACTGACTTTGATAATAATATGTATAGCACACTTTAATGAATTATTAATATAATGTTTTCTTTTTCTTAATATGTTCTTAATATGTTTTCTGTCAATATGTTCTACAGATTTTTTCAATATATAGAAGATAGCACTAGACCAACTTTTCATGTGATTGAAACAATCCTTCATACATTTTCATCGATGACAATGCTCTTAGAATCCACATATTTTGCTTTAACGAATTCATTTAGAGCAGTTTTGAGTGTTGCAGACAATATTGGAAAATTACATTCTTCTCTAGGACAATTATTTAGTACCTTTGCATTAATTAGATTTGTAAAATGGTTATATAGAAAAATTGTACATGGTGCTGGTAAGTATATATGAATTTAATTTCTTGTATAATTCAGAACTTAATTTTTATCAATGCTCTGTTAATTTAAGAAGTAAAAAGAAGTTGAATAATCTATATGATATATTCATTTTAGGATTTCAGGGTCAAGGTACATTTAATGACGAACTGTGGGATAAATCTTTAGCTAAAATTGGAAATGAAAATGCTCATAATTCTTCTTTTTGGTCTGGGTTTCTATTGTTTAGTGTATTTTTTATTATACCATATATGATTCATAAAATCTCAAGGAACATTAAAAATATCCAAACCAAAGGTAATAAGATAAAATATATGCGAATGTAATTATTTTGCATAATTACATTAGAATTTAAATATTAAGTTTACATGCAAACTATTAACTGAATAACAACATAAATAATTTAGGAAAAGATCCAAAAGAATGGCACCAATATGAAGAACCAGCTTATATTGCAACTGTATTGTACGATTTCGTTGCAAGAAATAATGATGAATTGAGTGTTAAAGCTGGCCAGAAACTTTGTCTTGCACCCCAGTCTTTGCAACCAAAAAATTTACCAGGATGGTATCAAGCGACTGATAATGTAAATATTGGTCTTGTTCCTTATAACTATGTCAAAGTTATAGGTCAATTGAAAAAAATGAAAAAAAATAATGAAGAAATGACTCTGAATAAAGATCAACTCACTACAAGTGAAAAACATAAACAGGACAACAAAGAAAATTCTGATGTCACAAAAAGTGACGAAAACAAGCAGTGAAGTATGAATAATTAGAATTTAAGCAAAGCAAATTAAAATATTTTTAATTACACTTTCTAAAATATTAAAATTTAAATGGCGTATACAATGTTTTGAATTTATATTCCGTAAAGTCTCGAATTACTGATGTTTGTATTCATCATAACTGAATTTCTAAAATAGTGGAATTGTCTTACAATAAGTTGTAAAAAAAAGATTCAATTTCACTTTTTTTACAGACTTGTTTCAAAGTTTATATCATGCATTTTAAGGTTGTAAATTCTATACAAAAAATTTTAAAAGACAAAAAAACCAATTATTTAAGTAATAAAAATTAGGATCCTGAAACACACATATGTCAGAAACTTAGCTATAATTGAGATGAAACTGTAAATAACTACGACTTTGGGTCTCGGATTTTTAAATAAAATGTACTTTTTTTCTTACAATAACATAATATGATACAATAAATGGAACTTATTATATGCGATATTTATATTCATACTATATAACTTAATAATTAATTTAGTAGCCTGGTGTATTTTATTGTTAAATTTATACGTAGTTTTGTATATTAATTGTTTATAATAAATTGGAGTTAAACAAAGTTCAATTTTTTTTTAATAAATTCAAGGAAAAAGTTATAACAAAAAAAAATATTGAAGTTGTGATATACAATCTCGATTCGAATTTATTTCAAAACAATTGTACTTACCATAACAATTAAAAATTATTAAATTTAAATCTTTAGAATCAAAGGAAGGATATTGTTTTTTCAGGAAGATTTAAAAAAAAAATTAAAAATTTCTTCACATAAAATACTTTATAGACATATGTATATTGAATGTGTGTGTTATGTACGCTTATGCACACGTGTAAGCATGTATATACATACAGGTATATATATAGATATATAGATATATTTTACAATTTCACTTTCTCTCTTTTTTCAACAATTTCAACAACAGATTCTATATTCTACACAACAAATTGTTATTCATTTCTGCATTCTAAAGAAGGGAATGTTTAGTAGGAAGGAAAACAGAATGAAAAGAAGAGAAAATGTAGAGAAATTTTCTTAATCACTGAATTTACGATTGGGATTAGATCCAAAGAGAGCAGAACGTATCTCTGGTACCAATTGCTGTGCTATTAATTCTAATCTTGTTTCCAAAGCATTGCTGACTTTTATACGTCCTAAAATTCAATTACAAGCATTAATTTATTAATAATTTAACCATTAATTTAATAGTAATTTAAGTAATTTTTAAAAATTTTGTTAAAGGCAAATAAGTCACTTATAAACTTAAAAGTAGAATTAGAAAAAGAATAATTATTTTTGTCAAATACATACCTTTTGCTGCAAATAAGTCAACACCACCACAGCTGTCAGGAGGTAGAAAATTATCTTGATCAATTTTAATTGCAACATCCTTCCTTGTTATTTGTTTATAATTATCTTGAACCGACTCAATAATAGATTCAACTAAAGGGAGATCAACTTGACGTACACGAATAGTTACATGACTTTCTGTCAACTGCAAATTGAAATAGTTACCAAAAAAATAGCATTTAAAATTTAACAAATACATTTAATTAGTATGGAATGTAAATATGTCTGTACCTGACATAGGCCTTGAACAATCAATAATTTCATAATTTCTCTATACTGTGAAACATCTTGTGATATTTCACTTAATCTTTTCCTGGCCTCATCAAGTACATTACGTACATGATCTTCTCTAACTTTCAGGACTTTTAGACGAGCCTGATTCAGCATATTCGATGATTGACTATGTAATAAAATTTGAGTTTGATTTAAGAATTAATAAATTTGATCATTTTTTTAGTTCAAATAAAATTTGCTTGTTAAAACTAGTTTTGATATTACACATACATTTTCTTTTGAAGTTCCACCTGTTTCTCTTTCTTCTCATAGTATTCCATAATTTTAAGTCTTTGTTGCTGAACTAATCGACCTTTTTCAATATTAAATTCTTCCTCTGCTTTAGCATCAATTTCTTCTGCTTTTTCATTGGCTTCTTGCTCAATGAAACCCATCATATGTTTAATCTTAAAATAGTAAAATTAAAAAACAAAATATAACAATTAATTTCATCGAAATAGATTGTGCTTTATGAATAAATATTAGAGTAGAATTTTATATAAATAAACATTGCAAATAAATTGTTATTTATAATCGTATGTCTTACACAAATATAATTTTTAGCAATGTACATTTAAAAGATAACAATTTTTCAAAGTGATAAAATATGTTTGACCAAATTAAAATAGAACAATCAAAATAAATGCAGCTGAAATAATTCAATTTTATTAATTTTAATGTAAAGTTATAATGAAAAAAAATGTTAATCCATTTTTAAGTAATCTGAGTGGTTTGAGTTAAAAGAATATAATCTAGTAACGACTTGCAAGAAAATGGAATTACAGTAACATAAATATGACAGGAAATGTGTTAAAGGCAAGTATTCTGTGTAAGTAATAATATATAGAGTAAACTGCAAAAATAGATTGAAATCGATGCTCGATATGAAATTTCATATATTTTGAGTCCAATGATTTATACCTGTTTTTGTACATCTGCATCACTTAGTGCCATGTTGAAGTTTGAAGATTAACTCGTTTCTTCCTAATACAAAATCTGGTTATTACTTTTTCAATAAACTAAGTTGGAAACGAATTTTTCAAAGAGTCAACGCCTACTGACAAAAGTGTCTTCAGTTAATGATGATCATATGACACAAGACTAGTGTATTCGTAAAAACGATTTATTTGGTTTACTGTCTATACAAATGCGTTCTTAAAAGAAATAAAGCTTTACCATCCATTCCTCAAAAGAATACCTTTATAATAGAAATTTGTGCTCCTGCGTATGTTAACTCTATTTGTATCTAAATATCCTATAATCTATGACAATGCACATGCGCTTTTATGACTGTCATGATACCTGGTGGCAGTGTTGGGCAGTCGTGAGATTTTATCGCACGCGAGAGCTTTATGCGCATGCGTCAGCTGACGTCACAGCTTGCTGCCAATGTCGTACCTAGCCGGTACACGCAGTGGTGACTGATGAGGGCACCTTAATGATCCTACATAATTTTTCAAAAATTCTTATAATTGCACTGTAAACTATGAATGTATAGGTTGGGTTAGATTACATTAGACTGGGTTAGGTTAGTTATATATATGACTGTATAAAACTATACAACTATATATACATATATTATAAGTAAAATTACAATCGTAGCTCTTAAATTCTACATTCTAATTCTAAATTAAATTCTAATCGTAGCTCTTAGCTCGGTATAGTTCTCTGAAGATTTTTTAAAGCCTCCAGAGAACTATACCAATTACCAGGTCACACCACGTGGAGGTGGCTACGATAGCGACCCACCCTAACTCCAAATCCCTTCCTCCCTCCAAATGCAACCTCATTTATCAGAAGGATAAATGAGTTCTGACTCTACTTAGCTCATAGGCT